TTAACAAATAATTTTGTAAATGACCAATGACAAGGTAAGTAAATTTACGAGTTCCATTTTTATTGAAAAAGCATCTGAAAGATAATCTTCCAACGTGTTCATGTTCTTCTTTACCCTACAACTATAGTCCTGCTGGACACGTCATTACTGGTGACCTAAATAGAGTTAATAATGAGGACCTTAAATTTTTATAAGAGGGTCAAAGTTTAGGGAACCTCGATCTTTCAACTGGGGTCATAATTTAATAAATAATATGAATTCAGTGGAAGATTATGCCAGACGATGGGCCAAATATGAAAAAGGAGACCTTGACACTTTGTCAGTATGGATTTAATGTATCAGATGGATGTTGAAAACGCACATTAAGCGATTGAGGGGCAATATAAAAACCATCTATCCTTCCGGCTTCGACAATGCAGAAGTGAAACAAGAATTAAATAGATTACGCGATCAGTATATACTGGTCACCTATATATGCAGGTAACTACATTGTCTTTGTTTGTAAGGCTCTTTATTTGAATTCTATTTTAGAGAAACTAGGATTCAATTCTGAGAGTAGTAATCCATCTTATATCCATAGCTCCCTTTCTAAGGAGGAGATTCTTCAAAACCATATGTTTGTTTCAAATATTTTTAATATTCCTAAAAATCAAAATGAATTTGAATTATCTTACCTATACTGGATTCCAAAACTCGATAGTAAATACTCTACCAAACTTCTTTCTTTACTCCTCACTAAAATATTTACAGCAGTGAAGGAGAAACTTTAGGAGTACTGTGCAACAGTATATTTGAGAAGTGGTGTAAATCAAATGTGGATAATTTAAAACTCCAAGGAACTTAAAGAAAATTTGAAATCACAAAATTTTAGCAAAATCAATAACATCAAAACGCACGACTTTGCAACACTTTATACAACCATTCCCCACGATCAATTAAAGTCCTGGCTTTTTGACATCATAGACAGCTGCTTTTTCAATAAAAATAAAACTCGTAAATATACTTACCTTGTCATTAGTCATTTGCAAACTTATTTTGTTAAAAACATTCTGATTCTGTACACACAAGTACTCCGAAGTTGATATTAAAAAGATGATTGAGTTTCTGATTTATGATATCTATATATTTTTTGGAGTTCAGTTGGAATTTCCATGGCTACCAATTGCGCCCCTTATTAGCAGACCTATTTTTGTATTCATATGAACCAGAATTTATTCAAAAACTTCTACATGAGAAGAAGGAAACACTTGATGTGGCCTTCAACTCGACAATTAGATATATCGACGACGTATTATCAATTAACAATAGTTACTTCCATTCATATGTCGATTCCATATTTCCCAGTACGTTTGAAATAAAAGATACCACAGAGTCTGACACATCTGTTTCATATTTGGATAATTTACTAGAAAAGGAATTTAATGGTTACCTAACAACAAAGTTTTATGATAAACGTGATGACTTCAATTTTTCAATCGTCAACTTCCTTTACTTTTGTAGCAATATACTTTTATCACCTGCTTATAGGGGTTGGTCTCTCATTTAATTCGATACGCAAGAGCATGCTCTACGTATGAGCAATTTCTAAAACGAGGCAAGCTATTGACAACCAAGTTGATGAAACAAGGATATCAACAGTCTCGTTTGAAGTCATCATCAAGTTTTATGGTCGAAACAATGACCTTGTCAGTAAATACAACTTTTCATTATATATATAAGTCATATGCTGACTGACATTTTCATACAAATTGTTAGATCAATATTTACACACTGAATTGTCTACGGATTTTCCGGGTTTTTTTCTATCTTGACAAGGAGCACACGGAGGGTGTGACCGGTAGGCAGGGGATGCTTACTCCTCCGTGACACTTGATCACACCTCGGATGTTTCGTGGGTCTGTGTTTGCTCTGTTCCCGGTTTGTATTGTTTATAGGACTTTGAGCTTGAATACTGTTCGTTATCTCCATATTTCTTTTTAACGCATTACTTACTATTTGCATTACAATAACCAAATACATATTTTATAATTAATCTAATCAATATATACACAGTCAAGGATTCTCTTCTACCCTGTTTACCAAATGGTTTTGCACAACATAAACATGGGGGGGGGGGGGTATCAATTTAATAGGTATCTGTATGTATACTCAACCAAAAAGTTAAAGGGTTATATAGATATAAAAAAAAATAAATCTTGAATTCTAATTTAAAAAATGATTGGTATGATCATCCAAGCACTAAAATTTTATTTGTTTCACTTCACTGACATATTGTTATTCGTATCCAAAGCCAAAGGAAGGTCTTCATCCTAGTCAATATTGCATGCTGAGATTTGGTAATTATGTTTGTATGAACAACTATTTTCTGTCAAAACTTAATGCATACAATAATACCGGACAATTTAAAATCTCGTATGAACATATGGATTACAAGTGCCACAAAGACGGTGTCTTAATGTACGGGAAACCGAAAGGGCGCTAAAGTGATGTTACGAAATGGAATGTCACAAGAACCAGTTGGCAGATTGCTCAACAGGTCGCAAAGCATCATTTACGGCGTGTATAACGTTGTATTATTATACTTTTCTGTTATTCAAAGAATTCAGAATTCCAATTAGATAATTTCTTATTCCTATTCGAAAAATTGTGATTAGGATTCCTACTCGATAATTTGTCATTTCTTTTCGATAAATTGTTATTCCTATTGGAATACGATTCCTTTTCCAAAATACGTAATTTCTAAAGATAGGCATAACATGTAGCTTTTGTGAAATATAGAAACATCTCATGTTCCCAGCAATTTTCACCTTTCACACTTGCTTACAAGTTTGCCCTATCTTAAATTCACCCAAACAATGCAGTAATATTTGAATTCGCCCCATGTTAAATTCGCCCACTTCCGATGAGGGCGAAAGAGGCGAAATTAAATGGGGGAAAAATTTTCCATGTATACAGTATTACATTTTTGGTTGATTTTTACATAGAATATAATAACATAAAATGTACAAATACTAATCTTTTTATAAGCACACAACAGTGTCTGCCATTTTTAAAATACCGTGAAATAAAACATCAAATGTAGGGGGAAAAAAGATAATTGCTACATGTAAATGGTAGTTTTTGAAAATTTTGGGGGAAAAAAGGGATTATTACATTTTGCGTTAAAAAATACTGAGTTGATCTCCACGCAAAGTTTTATAATATCAATGCAGTTCATTACATTTTTGTGATCGGCTTTGGCTAATCGCAGTTGTTTCCATAAGAGGCATCCAGCAATGTAACCATTTGCGCATACATGACGCGACGGACTTCTTTGTTTACTATTCACTGACAGCTTCATGTAAATTTATCATAACAAATTTAAAAGTACTAAGGAGCTTTTCATCACTTCCAAAGCGGAAGTACACCTTTTCCCTGTAGAGTAATTGGTGTTTCGAGTAAGTCTAACTCGGGCATTTAGTTTCTTCTTTTATTATGTAATTGACTCTTCTGTACATTCTGTGCCATGACGTAAGCTACAAGTATTTCATCTGAATATTTCACTTCCCGATCACTTTCTTTAAAAGAAATACTTGTTCCTCATTTCATTGTTACATGTACAAAACTCTATTGTTTTGAGAAAGTTTCATAGGTTTTTTCCTGTTTGAAACTTAGGATCTTCTGTGTGCTTTCATCCCTGTTTCTGGAATGCTTTGGCCAATCTTGAATTTTAAACCATTGAGCTATATTTCCTACTTTTGGACACTCCCTTCTTTGTGTCTACGAAACAAAGTTTAATGATTTGTAGCCTTGTAAAGACTTTTATCCAAAGATATTTCCATATACTCAGTACTTCTACACGTTTTTACAAAACGTACGTGGTTTGAACAAACACAAATCTTCTTTATAATATGCTTTAGTCAGTTTGCAAACATTTTCTGCCGAGGAAGATAAAGACTTCTTTATCAAAAAGGTCGTGGACCTTCATTTTAAAGATATTAAAATCTTTACCACTAAAGGATTTGCGGAAAGTTTGGTTGCAAACTGCTCCATGATTATGAAAAAAGACACAAATATGAAAAGATAGATAGCAAAAGGTCACTTATATAATCCTCGCGGCTGAATTTTCCTGGTAAACTAGGTCACAAATAAACCACTAACAACAGCTTCCTTGTATTACTTGCACATTTTTAGTCAACACTTCCCATGACAAGGTTGGGGCCAAATAGGGTTCCTTTCGAACATATCAGAGTTAATTTAAACTTCTTTTAAAGAACACTACACTGTAGTACCACAACACACTGAGAGACATTTCTGCAGAAAGAGGAAATATATGTATATTGACTCTATATTTATGTGCAAGTCAATATGTATGATTTAAACCCCCATCACGTTTCCAAAAACGACCAACGGCCGAAGGATTTTGAGGCAAAAAAAAAAAGGATTCTTCTGGTGACGTCGGGAGTTCATCGGCCGTTGTCTTGCCCGATTTTGACGTCTTTTTTCGTCGGCCGACCATTTTTTATCCATCGGGCCAAGTTATAATTTTTTCTGCGTCGCTTCAAATGAAGCAGTCGTTGAATAGTCCGTCGACCAACTTTCGATCATCGTCCGAATTCGGTGGTCGGTCGGGTTTTCGTAAATGTCGGCCGACAGTGAAAATCAAACTGCGGCTTAGCGAATGATGATCCGGCGACTGCTGGCCGACTTAAAATTATTCAATTTTTGAAAATTATCGGTGTTCTTAGAAATTAATGTGACTGCTCCGCGTCGCCCGATACTACTGTCGGTCGATCATGTTTTTCAGCCGACGATACGAGAAAAATTTGGTCGCATGACCATCGGCTTAAATGTGACCTAGGTGCATGTTAATGTCCTATACATTTGAAGAATTACAACAGTACTATGGCATTTTTTTTTACAAAGTTTTAATGATTCCAAAGATACATGTCATAATATAAACAAACAATAATGTAAATAATGTAACTGTTAAGAAAACAGACAGTTTGAAAGTTAATGAATAAATTTTATAATTTACTTTAATAGATGACACAAATATTAAACATTTAAAATATAGAAATATAACAGAGTTCTTTTCACCCACCTTAACATTTGTTAAGTAAAAAAATTTATATGCAAATAATCTTTAACATAAAAGAACAAATTTGCACCAATAGAAAACTTTTACAATCTTTCTATGGTGTTTGTACTTCTTCCAGTTAAAAAAACAAATAAATATAACCAAAACAAGAACAAATAGGCCCTAAAGGCACTTCATTTATAAACATTCAAAAGAGAGACACAAGATTTCCAGTTTTGAATCATCTTCATTAATATCCTACTTCTCCGAGAATCCCCAAATCTAGCGGCCAGTAGCGGGTCCTCTGAACTCTCTAATATTGGTCTCTATCATTTTTTCCCCAACTGAATCATATTAGGTGGGCCATTATTTAATTAAGTGAAATTTTGTTTTTCAGAATTATACTTTAACACAAAAAAAAAAACCAAAAAACAAAATGTTAACTTTGAAATGAAAGTGGGATTCTTCAAACATCTCTTTTTCCAGATGTTTCAAACAGAATGAATATTGGAAGAAATTATAAGATCTGCTGAACAAATCATCAAAAACATCAACAACTTTTGTCTGCCTTGGAAATTCTACTGAAACTGTTTACAAGGAAAATAAAGGTTCAGTATTAAAAAATTCTACTGACCTTTGTCTTTTGCCATTTCTCCTTTTTTTTTCAAAATTATATACATATATATAAAAAGACTTAAACAAACAAACGTCAAGCCATACAATATGTTTTTTTTTCACTGTATAACATTTTTTTTCTTTGTGAAATACTTTTTTTTGTATTGAATAAACCTTTTCATTTGAGTGTATGATGTTCCAACAAGATGCATTTTAATGCTGGAAAAAATGACAGGTACACTAAAAATATACAACATATGCATTAATAAACTACAGGAAACTAAATATTATAAAGCATATTTCATACGCTCAACAATTTGTGAAAATAACAAAACTCGAGAAATAAAAAAAAATCTTTAAGAAGGCTCTGTCTTTTTTTTTTAGCCTAGGGTAACTTTATAAATAACTGATTAAGATAAAAACTTACTTGGAAATGACTACAGAGCCTTCTTAAACACGTTTTAACATTTTTGAAATACGCATGTATGAGTTCCAAATAATATACAAGTACCATATATACAATAAAGTTTCTTTGTAGAAACTAGGTGGGACTGAATCCCCTGAAGTGCATTGTTTATCAAGAGATCCAAAAACTTCTCTTTCTCACATCAGAAGTTGCTAGTTAGTTCCTACACTCATTAGCACAGCTTTTTTAAATTACTTTAAATCAGCTCCATCTCGATGAAGTTGTTGCTCTTGGGCTCAAAATAGCTGTACATTGCTTTCTTTTCCCCTGCAGCTCGCTTAGCAATGACTGTCAAAAAAACATTATCAAAATAACTGACCACAAAGACCAAGGTACAATGTAAAATTAAAGCCCCTTTACATCCCTTCATTTGATAGGTTGTCTCTCAGAAAAAATTAATGCAATACAAATTAATCAAACACCTGTTATTATGTCTGTTTAAGTTCCCCCCCCCCCATTTTTATGCAAACTGCATAAAAGAAACCAAATGCATAATTATATGTACTATTTAAAAGAAATCTCCTTTGCAAAATATGAAGCAATTTTGAATAACAGCTGACTATTTTGTCTAATGTGACATCATAGAGTACGTGAATTTTTTGAATTTTTTTTAAGAATAAAGCCTAAGAGGACAAAAACACAAAATGTGATGAAGTTTGACAATATATATTTTGTGGATCATAACCTTGTCATTTCCATCCAACTCCATCAAAAACACAGAGTTATCAAGTGTGCTTCATAAGACAATGGACCATTACAAAAAGAAAAACTGTAGATTACTTTTTTCATGTGGGATTAATTTATACTATGTACGTGGTCACAAATTTTCTGCAGATATTTGTCACAGAGTACTTAGAGAGCATTTAAGACGTACAATTTCAATCAAAGAATCCACATAATTTTCTACCCATGGACTGAACAGAAATTGAGATTCCGCAGAATTATGACCCCATGGAAAAAGTGTGTTTACAGTAATTCATTTGTTTTTCTCTGATTATTAATTTTGATAAATGTATCTTTTAGCTATTTTGACAAGAAAGTCATTGCCAATTTTGTTTTGCCATTTTTTGAGTCATTCCCCTTTGAACATTGACAGAAAGGTAAAAACAGCAAAGAAATGACAATGTATACATTTTAAGTTTGGATAACTACTTTTTAAAATTTTTAATTCATTCACATATACATATACTGTATACAGGGATATTTTCGCCCCCTTTTTGCTAGTGGGCAAATTAAAAACAGGGCGAATTCAAAAAGGACCGCATAATCTCTGAAGCAAAACTTTGAATGGGTGAATTTAAAGTGGGGCAAAATTGTTTGCGCTAAGGGGCGAAAAGATCTCACTGTATACAGTAATAATAATAAACACTGACAAATTTACCCTTCTGGGCCCTTTCCCTCTTTTAACTCTGGATTGAAAAAATTCAGTACAACCACAGATCTAAGTGTTTTTCATTTCATTGAGTTAAGTAGCAATTATTGATTTTGAGTGATAATAATTTGACTCAATTGTCAAACCAGTACTTACAATGATCTCCAACCATTCTCTCCATGGTGTAGGTCTGGAAGTAGGAGCACTCCTTCTCAATGTAACGTCCAAGGAATGAAATGTCCTTAAGAGCTGGCAAGGTCACACGGTACTGTTTTCTTAGAACCTCAGCTCTGGGCATGTAGTAACCAGTCTGTAAAATGTTATCATGTCAACATTTAAAAAGAATACAATATTCACAAACATATCTAAAATTATGTAAACTCTAAACAAGAAAGAATGCAGCGTTAATATACTGAAACGCAAAAGAAACGCAACAAGCAGTAATCTACAAATATTTGAATTTTTTATCAAATGATTTTCAAAAAAGAATACAGTAAGGTAAAACTCGATTTATAAACATCAGAGATTTGATAAAAATGTTAAATTATAATCTTTTTACTTTAGAAAGTAACACGTGAATGTTAAAACACCCCCCACCCCGGCCATTCAATTTCAGCGTGCAAGACTGCCATGTACAACAGTTGCAGCTTGATTTCTACGATGCAGTAGGTTCATCAATCTCGGGATCTGTGCGAAAGAAATATTTGCCATTTTTAAATGCCTGTTTTTCAGATGATGAGGTCGAATTTTCTCTAGCCAAGTGCAGCTAGTGTAGTAACCCTTGGACTTCCGGTCCAAGGACTGTTATTCATACTAATGATACGTAAGAGCCTGTTGAGGCGTGATTTGTTGCATATTTGCATCTCTAACTCTCCATCACCTTTATTTTGATATTTTTCAGCTAGAGCAATGGAAATGCGTACTTAAGTCATTTTTAGGAAGCCTTGGCATCTCTTACGGAAAAGAAAGGAGAATTTATTTTTCGTAACATTGCTTCATTACTTATGATAAACAGATACAAATTCTTAAAACCCCATATTATTGCCAAATATTTTGTTAAACATGCAATTTTTTATTTTTGTTAAGCGGACTCAAACTTAACTTCCGGGTAATGGTATGAAAATCATTCGACCGTTAAATTACCGATATTTACAAAGTTGAAAATGTCCTTACTTTTTAGATACAAAATTTTATCCTATATATAATATTTCCCCCTAAAATAGGATGTTGCGTTTCTTTTGCGTTTCAGTATATAAATGTAACAGTACATGAATTTCATAGGCTTTTTAGTTAAAATTTGTTTTCCCTCCGTTTCTTTCATTATGACTGTAAAATTGAGCTTGACATAGGTTTGATTATCCCAAAAAATCTTTTTAAGGGTATGGTGAATGCTTCACCTATCTTTTTTATCAAAATAATATACATACTGCAAATTTTTGAATGAGATCAATCCAGTCCTTTGGAGGAGTCACTTTACTTCTGTCCAGTTTCATTATGTAACAAGACCTCTTGTCATAGTCAACAATGGCTGTGTAATTCTGCATAAAAAGAGAAATATGGTGTCAGATTATATATGTGTTATCATAAAGACTTGGGTGTTCACCATTTTGTGCAATTTTCCAAATTTACCCATTCTTTTATCTTGCTTTTCTCCATCTAATGCAAACTACAACAATAAGTTGTTTTAAATATTCTTTAGGAGTTAAATTTACATACCTTCTGGAAATCATGAAGAATCATAGTATCACGGAAGTCCCTGAAACTTGGCATGTGGATTCTCTCAATCTGGTCATCAATAACCTGGACATCCTCAGAAAGGTCATAGGGCACCATGTGGTGGTGTTCGTGATGTCTGTGGTGTTTGTTTGGCCTTCGGTGTGGCTTCATTGTCTTTCCTTCATTCGATTGCTGGTTGGACTGGAAGTTGGGGGAGAAATGGGGTTCGTCAACTGGTTCCTCAGTCTTGATGCCATTGTTTTGCATGCCTTGGTAATCAACCTGTAGGTCAGCTCTGAATCCGCACCTTCCTCGAGTTATCTGCAGGGAAATTAGGCAATTCTTGATAACTCTGTACGTGTACATCAATGCATAAATACAAAGTTCCTCAATGAGAAATCAAAACCTTTTCAAAAGTATTTTAAAACTTCTTCCATAGAAATTTGCAGCAGAATAACACTTTTTGTAACATAATGTATAATTTGTATCATTTACATATATTGTCATCATTATGGTTACTTACATTTAGATAATATTACATGGTGCTTCAATATTTATAAACCATCTGGTGAACTTTAAAATCTTAATTTTTACATCTATCCAGCAATATATTAGTACTTTTTTATACTTCTACTACTGAACTAATTGGATTGTCATTATGAGGAACACCTGAATTCATCACACAGAAGCATTTTTCCCGATATTTACATGTATTGATTCATTAGCACTGTAGGGGCTATGTTTCATAACCTTCTTACAGGTATTTTAAGCCGAATAACAGTCTACTCTTCCAACTTGGAAAATTATCACTTTTCAGATTTGCAGCTTTTTCTTTTAAACCTTATTAAATGGCAATTATAAAGATTTCATTTCTTTTATTAGTGTGATCAGTGTAATTAATCAATCTAATTAAAATCAGACTTCTTAGATCCATGCCATAAACACTGTGTGATCTTAAGCAGAGTGTATAGGACGTAGATCTAAGAAGTCCGATTTTAATAAGACTGAGCAATTAATTTTAGAATTGTTGTAACTGCTTCATAGTGACTTTGGAGTTTGAAGATAAAACATTAAAACACGGTTACAGTGAACAATAAATTTTTAATTTATAATAAATTCATGCCTATAGCTAAGTGAGTTTCATTCCTTGCAGTTTTAAAACATATTATGAACTCAACTGATGTAATGAATTATGTTTATAATGATTCAAAATAGGTTGTCCCTGGCATTTTGTGTAAGCATATTTTAATGTATATAAAACATACACAATTGTGCAAACATGTATTTGTCTCATACTCATGTGGAAGTTATATAATAATCTTTTCAATCTTGTCAGCATGACAAGACGGTCGGAGTGTAAAAATCTGATGAACACATAAACTCAAGTACTTTATGAACAATCACCCTAAAAATATCACAGATGTGAACAAAACTTCTTTTCATTGGCTATTTGTCAACTCTCTATATTAGGAAGATCTAAAAACTTATGTGTCAACATCGCAAACTCGAGAAAAGAGCAGAAAATGACATGTACTGAAAGTACCCTGTACATCCACTTGTTAACTGATGAGAAATTCATAAACAAGGAAACTGACACAGTGGTGTGGGTTCATTTTATTTCATCTTACTTCCTACATACCACATATAATTTTTCTAACCTGATAATTAAATTTAATCTGCTGTTTAAATAATTTACGTACACTAATCCTGGACAACTGTTCACAGCAATCAAACATAATTTCATGGAGTGATGTCAAGATATATTTCGACTGAATAACAAATACAAAGATAGATTTTCCTTCTTAATGCCAACATCCTTATTTCACAGATTATTATTAAGATGTCGACGTCACTCTCAGTAACGTTACACCTACATCTAATTAGCCCCTGACAATTTTCTTCATAATAAACCACACCATATTGTAACTGAAAACCTCCAACATTATTGTATCATTAAACCCACCTAGACAGATTTTTGTCCTTTATTTAGAAATTCGTATGAGACTTTATACAGGAAGATGACTAGTCTTTCAGTCTCCTGTCTCTGAAGTAAGAAAGTACTTGTGGGCAATTAGTATAACGGGATGTAGATGAAATGATAAATTGTTTCATCTTCTGTCAGAGGGAAACTCAAATTTAACTGATTTTTTGTTTTGTTTAGTTTTTTCATTTTTTTTTTTTGTGTGTTTGTGTGTGTGTATTTTTATGAGTTTGTATTGATAAAGGGTTTTTAAATTACAAATTTTTGACTTTGATCATTTTTAATTTTTGTTTTTGATTTTAATTTTTTTCCCAAAATGTCCTGGCATTAAAGCTAACAATAAATATCTAGAATTATCAACAAATTCAACCACTTAATGAAAATTACTGAAGAGAATTTAGTTTTCATTTATGTAAAGTACACTTGGAACTTCTAATCAAAATTACAACTTCAGTTGATTAGTTTTTTGGTTTGGTTTTGTGACGTAAAATTGTTCAAACCATTTTCAAAGCAAAATACTTCCTCAATACATCTGCATAAAAGCACCCTATTTGACAATGTCATGAACATCAGGAAATCACGTTACCCATGAATTACACAATTAACAAATATTTATACTTTTAAAGCATTTGTAATGACTCAAGCAAAATATTTTTTTACAAATAGTATCTAAAATTAGAATTCTATAGCATTTATCATGTTATTTAGTTCACCAATAATATAAAAATTATAACCTGTCCATTAACTTTGAACACCTGTTTGAAAGTGAGATATAAGGTACCATAGCCGCAGAAATGAAACTCAGACTAAAGGTTTTATCGGTAGATTTTAGTGATGGTGTATTACTAAATATTTTGCTCGGAAAGGAAAAAGGGAGATGAGGCAGAAATGAAGCACTTAGACCCAGCTTTAGAAATTACTCCCTGCATTTTTCTTTTAAATATACATGTATGTGTACCTTTTTCTCTTTCAATACCTATCATGTCTATGTGACAGTTTGTTTCTCTGATATAGACTTATATATACTTGTAATTGTCACATTTAGCTTGTTTAAATATTAGTTTGAATACTATTACTTTCAAAAGCCTGATATAAAAAAAGGATTTTTTTTCATATCTTATCATCTAGTCAATCTGCTTGCCCCCACTCCTCTTTCAGATATGATTTTTACAACTACATATTGAAGGCATTTTCCCCTTGAAATTTTGGGTTAATTTCCCAAGAATTTTGAAGGCTTTCCAACAAGTTAATTCATCCAATTATTCTCAGTCATAAATTCAAAATGAGTGTAAAATTCTTGAAAACATTGTTTGGTCAACATGATCAGGTCTTCTGCTTTAAAACATTGATAGATGGTGTGTGTGTGTGGAGGGGGGGGGGATCAAGTTGTGAAAAAAAGGAAAATAGTTAGAATAGAGCAAGCTATCTACATGCATTATAATGTCATGTGTAGATTTATTGGGGGGGGGGGGGGGGGGGAATTGAGTATTGAGTATTTTAACTTTTAAAAGTATTTGATCTTTAAATATGTACAAATCTCTTACTCACCCCTTTGACATTTTTATAAGTCTACAAAAAAAAAAAGAAAAGACTTATTGTCGTATAACACTAGATTTTCATACGGAAGTAAAATGTATGTACTGTTACAAGCATACTAAGCCTTAAATCTGGGGTAAGACTAGAGAGTGAGAGAGAGAGATCTGCTACAAGCTCGTTATTATTCATTGTTTATGCAGATATAAACTGTTATCGGATAATCCACTGTACACTGATTTATTCAACCCTCATATTATCTTGTGCATTCTATACAAGACATAATTAGTGTAGTCTATCTAGCACAAACAAAACATAAATTAATGTTCATGTGATAATATCATGTATATAAAAGTACACACATCATGTATTTTTCCCTATAAGTAATTCAAGATATTTGTGTGTAGAGCATTATCTCCCTGAAATGCTCCATCTATTGCCGAATGTGGTAACTCAACTAAATGATTGAAGCCTGGCTTAATTCTTTACCTTGTGAGAGAGTCTCCTGTAGAGAAGAACACCACCAGTAATTCCCGCTGCCAGGACAAGAATGGCCACCAAAATCAGAAAGAGGTTGAGCCAGGCCTTGGAGTGGCGTCTACGTGGAGGGACCACATCCACTTCTGCAGGGACTTCTGGTTCAGTCTTCAAAACACATAGCAAATAATTCTTTTTTCACTTCAAAAACATTACCAAGAGCCTATGATGGCATAAATATGGCGTTCATGCGTGTGTGTTTATAAACAGTGTTTAACATATCAAAACATCTTTGTTAGTTCCCCCCCCCCCCCCATTTTTATACAATTACAGAAAATGGGCAGAATATATTGATAATGACAATATCCCCCATTGGATATTTAAATAAGTCTTACTTCGAAACAGTACATGATATAAAATTTGGGGAGGGGGTTGTTATATAACCTATTTGCGGGGGGGGGGGGCATACTCAATGCTAAAAAAAAACTTCAGAGAGCTTTTTATACCATATCTTAATAAACTGTTGTCAGTGGAACTCACATTACTTAAAATTTGTAAAGAAAAACTGTTTTATGTACAGTAAATTTGCTTGTCAGCTGATAATCTAGATAAAACGAAACAAGTCCCTTGTTCAAAGTAAATACTTCAATTCCCATTTTTATAAAATATTTTTCATCATTTCAATAAAAGATACCTACCACAACAGCTGCAAGGAGCTTCTGTTCCAAAATATCCTTCTTCTCATTCTTCTCTTGGTTGTTAACTTTATAAATCGTCATTTTCGTGTGTTCTGTTTACGAGAAGTTTGTTGTCAAAATGGCGTCTTAAAAGTCACTTCAGCTATTTATAGACAACTAGGAACGACAACTCCGTTGTGGGGTTCAGAGAAACTTTCGTATTCACAATTCATATATTATTCGGAAAAAACCAACCGTGTTTATTTTTATCATTGATTGTATAAATTTTCCTGATATGCTTACAGTCCAAAGTGCTTAGAGCGGGTAAACACATTTTATATCACAATACAAAAAAAGAAAAGAAAAGAAAAAAGAAAAATATTTTCGAGGAAAAATTTGTAGGAGGACACTTTTCATTAAAATTACGGGAAAAAAAACGTCCATTTAAAAATGAAAGGTTGCTTTATGAAGTATTTTAAACTTTGCTTTTTTTTCATACAAAAAATATATCGATTTAGATCGAAAAATATATCCAACTTTTTTAATCCCAAAATAACTACTGTATAAGAAATTCGAACACTTGAAAAGATAGAACATGATCATATATAGAATTCTATAGTAAATAGCATCAATAACGGTAGAATTTTACTTACTTACTTACTTAGGCCTGTCGTTCCGTGAGGAACATAAACCATCGACGACAGTCCTCCAATGAACTCGATTCTGGGCTGCTTTTACTGCATCTTGCCAGGTCATGTCCTGTGTCTTTAGCTCTGACTCTGAGTCACGCCTCCAGGTGTTTCTTGGACGTCCCCTTTTTCTTTTGCCCTGTGGATTCCAAGTCAGGGCCTGGCGTGTGATACTGGATGGTGGCTTCCTTAGCGTGTGTCCAATCCAGCCCCACTTCCTCTGTCTGATTTGTACGTCCATTGATTCCTGTCCTGCTCTTTTCCATAGTTCTTCATTTGAGATCCTTTCAGGCCATCGGATGTTGAAGATGCGCCTGAGACAGGTGTTGTAGAATGTCTGGATCTTCTGCAGGGTTGCTTTGGTCGATCTCCACGTCTCTGCACCATACAATAGGATGGACTTTACATTAGAGTTGAGGATCCGCAGTTTGGTGGTAATGCGGATGTTCTTTGAGGCCCAGATGTTCTTTAGCATGGTAAATGCAGTTCTTGCCTTGCCAATTGTTGACCTGATGTCACGGTCTGTGCCACCCTGTCTGTCCACCACACTCCCCAGGTAGATGAAAGACTCAACTTCTTTGATGGGCTCACCACCAACTGTGACTGGTGTTTGGGCAGTGGTGTTTATTTTCATCAATTCTGTTTTCTTCAAGTTGATTTTGAGTCCTGTTCCTGCTGATGTTGTTGCAAGGCGAGTTGTTTTATCCTGCATCCGACTGTGGTTGTGCGAAAGGAGAGCCAGGTCATCGGCAAAGTCTAGATCGTCAAGTTGCGTCAGGAGTGTCCACTGTATACCATTGTTCCTGCCTGATGTGGTAGTCCTCATGATCCAGTCAAGAATTTTATTGATTAATTATTTATTCTCCTGCAAGACTTTATAGTAAAATTATAATGAACATTGCTGTTGAATGAACATAGGTGGTTTTCCAGTATATATACATTAATTCCTTATATGAACTATTACATGTATGTTTGGTAATTCTTATTACCAACTTAATTACAGATTAAAAACCAGAATACCAATTAGTTAACATTAGTCACACCAATACATTTCAGTCGGTAATAAGTGGTGAAAAATATGCTTGTTTTACAGTTTCTACGTATTGACTGAATAGAGTACATAAAGTGTATTAAAAGATACATGTATATATAGGGAGATCATGCGTCAGAGCCCTCACCAGGTTTTTTTGAAGGGGGTGGGGGTGGAGAGGGTCTGGGAAGGGAACCCTCCTAAATCAGAAAAAAAATCTTTACAAATGGGTACACTTGTACAATTTTGATGGAATTTGCATAATTAGAGATGTCAACGGATATTTGAATATTTTTGATATTCAAACGTGACTTTATGATTCGAATATTCGGGTTATTATTTTTTTTTTTAGAATACACAAAATGATATAACTATATGATGAATTTAATTGGAACAGTTGTCACAGTGGAATTATCCCTCATTTACTTATTGGCGATCAACTTTGATCATCCTATTTCTTCTACTACTTTCTGAATATAGATCTACTTAATTTTAAAACTTGAGTGCTTCAGCTTTGTTCTTCAAAAAAAATTATCAAATGTTTGGCGATCTTTAAAAAGGGGGGGTTGGGGGGTTAGTACTGGATTTTCAGTGATTTATAAGAACACTCAGTGAATTCCCGTCTTGTATAATGTGACCAGATCTAGTATCGATGTCAACAAAATGGCCCTTTTTAGACTATGTAAAAGATATGAAGAGTGTACCTATCGGTCTAAAATTCATTGATCTTAAATCATACATGTTTTATAGTATCATTCTGATTTGATGTTGCATGAATTACTTGATTATTTCAGACTACATATTCCCAAGTTTTGAAAATCATTATATTGGAAAATGAGTTAATTAAGAAAACAAAGGTTACAATTATATTTTTTATTAGGCATATACAAGTAATTGTTTAAAATGATATATAATCGGACGATGCAAATATGAAGTAAATCAGAACTTATTTATTTTATCGAATATTCGAATATATTCAAATACTGTCAATTAATGAATAATCGAATATGAATTATTAACAAATTTGACATCCATAGTTTTGTTGCATTCTGAAAGTCATCTTTTCCCAAATATTAAAAAAAATAAAATTAAAATAAAAAAATAAAATAAATGTAGCACTACGCTTTATGCAGGCCTAAAGGCTATTTATAAATCTCAAATTGTTTCTGGCGATACACGTATGCATACATGTTCATGACGTCATAGAGATATAACGAAATAATGAACTGACGTCATGCGCAACTATGTTTTCATAGTTCCTACGTTGAATACTCAGGTAAGACTGTATTAGGCTCTGATGACCAAAGCGATACCAATTCAGACGAACACCACTTTTGTAAAATCTAAGACGAGCGTCTCCTTCTTTTTCAGTTGCAACGAAAGACGATCGAAGTGCATGCTGAGTGTTGTCTTAAAAATCATGGCTAGCCAGGATCAGGAATCGGCATCAAAAGAAACCAACACAGATGTTATTGGAGGTAAATACATCTTGCTAATCATATAATACAATATGCACCAAAAATTATAAAGTTAACATATCATTTACTTGATTTCACACTTGATATATTTACATATTATAAAATCACTCTGGGCTGTGTTTATTTGTGTTGACATTTGAACCATTTTTTTTTTACTGTTCATACACCCTAAGTAAGTAAGGGTGGCAGTAGGTGGAGTGGGTGTAGGAGTCGTTTGCATTTTTCTTAAAATTCAATTGACCCTATTTTGTTTTCCTATCAGGAATCAATATTCATTGGAAGGGGGTGTAACATGTTCGCGTTCAAATAGTGATTTCACTGGAAAGAGGGGGGGGGGGGGTGCCAGTGCATTGAGCTAGAAAGAAAGAAAAAATAGTTCGTTTGTTTTTGTATGAAAAAAAGATCCCAACAAAAAGGCAGATATATCGGATGAAAAAGGAAAGCACTCTGAATTCACTCCCTTGTATTTTGAACCAAAAAATTTTATGATTTTCAATCGAGTATTCATGAAACTTATGCTATACTCACATTAACTACAAGTATTGTGAGTTTCTAATGTCATTTGAACTTTTTAAAAGTTTGCCCCCATCCCCACCACTACTTGGAAATCCTTGAATCTTCCTGTACATGTATATATTTTCGAATTCAAATGTTACGACCCATTAATCAAATTACAGTTAATGTGTAAATGAAACCGCATTTCCATAGCCCTTTCCTTTTCAGATCATTTTACAGAAGAATCCATTGAGGATACATCCTTAGAATGGGACTGTTTTGCGGATGAAAATTATGACATCATATGTCATGCAGAAAAAGTTGATGATTTCTACTGGGCTGACATCAGTGGGATGGGGTGTAATTATAAAACGGATTATCCAAATGGAGATGGACAGAATTTGTTACAAGATCAAAATTCATCCTCTCTGCAAACAACAATCTGGAAACCATTCAAACAGAATATGCCACGTAAAGAAAACTCAGCTGAACTCTTATCCGCAACATCTTCCTTGACTGATTATTTCAGTTGTTTTGATTCAGATTCTGACGACGAGGAAAGAAAAGAAAGGCGGCATTTTGATGCGGAGTTCTCTAGTTTGAATCTCTGCCTAAATATCTCAGTTACAGATAAAAACAACGAGCCCCGAATTTTCATTACCACAAAGACGGAGAAGAAGAAACCGTTTTCAGAAGGAAATTCCAGTTGGCTATATAAAGAGACAGAAGATCTACTTTGCGATGCGTCAGAGTCATCGTCATTTCTATCTGATTTCGATGATTACGAGTTCATGAACTTTTCGGATTTACAGTCAATGGTAAATGAACAGAACGACAAAAGTGTGATGCGGTATCGTCTAGTAGACATTTCAGAGTCAGATATGGAAAATAATCTGGAACATGTTCGTGAGTCAGAGCCAAAGGAATTTATGCCTTCGTGGTGTCAAATTTTCAAACCGATTAGCGAAGAAACGGAAAATGAGGTTACAAAACACGATGTTAGAAGCCTTGTGGAATCTTTTGAGAGTTTGATCAAAGCTGAAGAAGAGGGCTCTAAAACTTCGTATCCAAAAATTAAAAAGGAGGATAAGGCACATTTGAAAGTTGAATCTGAATTGGTTAAAAGGTCTGAAAAGAACTTCGAAACAAATGCAGAGGAAACGGTTTCTACATACATAATCCAATGTGAAGAAGATTTCACAGATGAATGTTTTCATGTCTTTCGAAAGTTAAGCGAACGCATTATACAGGAGAGTTTCCATGAACTAGAACTGGAGTCCCAGTGTGATTTGTCATTCATGAACTCTGGACAAGTTATGCCTTATTGTGGAGGGGTGAAGACATCCACCTCTGAAGAAGATCAAAGCCAATTAATCAACAGAACAAAGTATTTGAACATAGAGGAAGAGATGGTTCGACTTGGTCAAGACACCAATGATGAAAAGTTGAAAATGGCATTGAGAGCTACAAAAACTGAAGATCAGTCAACAACAATTACAATTCATGCACAAATGAATTGCAAAGGAGAAGAAATCGTCAAAAGCATTTTCTATACCCAGGAAAAAATTATTTTGCCTCCTGAAATGCCAATTCAAATAAAGGAGAAATATTTTGAACAAAGCGATGCGCACACATCTATGGACATTGCTACGATAGAAAAAGGGAATATACAGAACGACACGGAAGAAGGCGTATGGCGTAAACAAGGTCAAATGGTACCTGTCGCAGGTACCACTTTGCAAATTCCACCACAAGTGATTATTGGAACATTTACACCAGTTTGCAATGCTTTAGAAAAACACAATGACCAAAGCAACATTTTTGCAGAAAACATTGCCTTGAAGTCTGCAACACTCGGCAAAACGCCAGCTTCTGTCAAGAAAGATACTTCTGTAAGGTATAGTACTGAACAACAAAAACAAGAATATAGCACACATAGTGTATTCAAAATAATTCTAGATCAAGTGAACTATACTTCCGCTCCTGTGCAAGAATACATCCGAGAGGAACAAGAAATGGAGTGGAATGAATTGGGACAAATTGTTCCTGTTGAGGAAGATTGCCTAAAACTTACACAGGAACAAGACGATTATCCACTTCTCCCTTTACAGCAAGAAAAGACAAGTCAGGATAAACAAGAGCAACTGGGTCCTCTGCAAAACACTCCTTGCGGAATTGCAGATAAAGAGAACAATCGTACTCTGGCATCTCTACAGAAAACTTTGTTCGAGTCACAAAAAGTGGATGAGCTGAGTTTTAGGAATACCAAGGGAATGAAGGACGGAAAAAATGTACATGCTGAAGAAGATAGCTTAAAAACTATACAGAAACAAGTTGGATATCCCCTTTTTTTACAAGAAAAGACAAATCAGGAAAAACTAAATCACTTGGATCCTCTGCAAAACACTCCTTTCAGAATTGTAGATAAAGAGAACAATCGTACTCTGGCATCTTTACAGAAAACTTTGTTTGAGTCACAAAAAGGGGATGAACAGAGTTTTAGGAATACCAAGGAAATGAGGTATGGAAAAATTGTACCTGCTAAGGAACAATTACAAGTTGAATCTTTTCCTCTACATCAAACAAGGACAAGTCAGGATAAACCAGAGCAACTAGGTCCTCTGCAAAACAATTTTCATAGAATTGCAGATAAAGGGTACAATCATACTCTGGCGTCTCTACAGAAAACATTGTTTGAGACACAAAAAGGGGACGGACAGAGTTTTAGCAATACTAAAGGAATGAGGAATGGGAAAACTACACAACACACCACAGAGGAATTGTGTGGTCCAGTGTCAAAATACACACAGAAACGTCGATCCAGAATGACACAAGAAAAGCCACAAGAAACTAGGGCAGAGCTTTTAAACGTACGAAACATATCGGAAGTCCTTGGCAAAATTGAGAAAATCTGCAGTGGCAAGACGGTGCATCTCCAGCAGGAGTACACTATCCAAGACAGAAGGTACATACCCGCCGATAGATTCCATCTGGCAACACAACCTTTTGCAATTCCAAACCCTTCCGTTATACCAGGAAATTATGAGTCGGTATCGTTGAACTCTGATGCATATAAATTCGTGAAAGCAAACCCATGGTTAGTACCGGAATCTAATAAGAACACAAAGAATGGGCAGGGAACTTGTCAAGAGGTAAAAGTAGGCGACGGACAAAGAGAAAACACACTCAAGTTGCAATACGAGTCCGAGGAAAGTACAATTAGACTAGAATACACTCATCAAGATGAAGCCAATACAGGCTTACCTGACGAGCAGAAACAGGATCTATCATTGACACCTACAAGGATTCCTGAAGATCAAGGCCCATTTCCAATTACCAAGCATTCCAAGAGGATTATCCAAGATGGCAGAATTGTTTATATTGATGAAAATAGCTGGCGTACACAGAGTAAAGTGGCTAGATTATGCAAAATTTTTGAAAACAGTGGATCAAAAGTACCAAGAATAACTTACCGCATGTCGCAGGAGGCCAACAAATCTCGAGCTGGAAACCAAAAGCTGCGTCTTACCGTAATGGAGGAGGATCCTAAACAAACTAACAGCACAAAAGAAGACAAATCTCCCAGGAGATTTGACTTTGATAGGTACCTCCAAAACAGAGGGGAAAACATAATGACAAGGAAGGGCCACGATGATATCAGTGATGAATCGTATTACCATGTGGCAAAGTTGCTGACTATCCGAATCATTGCCAATGCCAGAATAGAAGTTTCCAGGGAGTATATTGAACAAGATTATTCAAAACAAAAGATAGCGAGGAAAGGAAGATTGGATGCCCCTCCTAAAGCTAGCTTACCACAGTCAACTTGCTGCAGTGCCAATATGATGAATGATAAATTCTGTAAGAGGGGCACAAAAGAATTCTCTCCTCGACATACCAAACAAACATCAGAGCTAACACAATCGCAATGGAATAAGAATAATGAAAATCCAAAGAACGACACACCTTTAAAGGAAAATACTGTGTCAAGTAAAATATGTAAAACTTCAAAGGAAAAATTCCAGCCAAAGGAATATGAAGAAAAGGACACTTCCTGTCAGAGTCAGGGGAGACAAAGAGTGTGGCGCAGGGAGGCAGAGCAGAGTAACGGTTACCTCCCCAACCCTCCAATTGACCAGAAAAGGAAACGTGTTCAATTTGATATCTAAAGCATATCTGTTACCGAGTCATATCTGTGATGTTAAAATATGAAGTATTTAATTTTGTTGTAATAAAATTCAATGCATATCTCTTCCTCTTTTTTTTTTCATTGACAGAGATACTGTGACAATGTAACAAGTATGAAACACACCATTACTGTTTTAATAGTCCATGGAGCTCAATAATCATGGTTGGACCAATCATTTTCAAAAAATTTCAAAAAATTTCAGGTGTCCAATTTCTTATAATATTGTGTATAAAATTTCTATCACATTCTCAGGAAAAATGTATTAACTATCTTCTAGAGTAAATACATACATAGAATGGGGGTAGGGGGCATCGTCGCAAACCACGGCCAAAATGTACGATCCTCTCCCATTCTGGAGAGAGCTAAATGCGGACTCCGGACCGTGGCTTGAGACGATGAGGGGAGCAATGCAAATATATATGAAACAAACAGTACTATAAAATACATTAAATTTCATAGTTAAAATGAGCACAAATATACAGTCAAACTTCGTTATCTCGAACTCGATGGGACCGAGAAAAAACTTCAAGATATCCGAGGATTCGAGATATCGAGGGAAAAATACTTATAGAAAAAGAACTTGGGACTTTCAAATCACTTGACATATCCATGATGTTCGAGATATCTGTGTTCAAGATACCGAAGTTCAACTGACCAATGTCTTACACATGAAGTGGTATTTCAATTGCTTTGAAAGCGAATGCAGGTGAAATTTCATTTCTCAATAAGTTTTTCACCTAGAAAATCAACTTGTTTCATGCTTTGATATGTGAACCTACATGTACTTTGATGAAGTATTGTCATACCAGTAAGTTCAATGTCTTGGTAAATAAAATATTATACCCCCGATATTCATCAATGGTGAAAATTAACATCTTAAACTTCTAGGACCTGATACAATAAACTTCCAATTTTTAAAACAAAGCTCATTACTGAACAGAAATTAAAGTTACTTTGATATTTTCAAATTTCCTTTCTAAAAAGGGTTTAATACCCATTGTGCTATTCAGGTGTGGTTAAAATACAATGTCTTACAATTTAAGACTGGTCATGTTTTATTTTACTCTAATAATAAACACACAACTAGTAACAACAAGTAAGAATCTATAATTAAACCTACTCAAATGATAAGTAACAAGTGATATATTTGTTTTGATGTTTTATTACATCCTCTCCAAAACAAGTCTTGAAAATATTAATAATAAAGAACATTAAAAAAAGAAGGAGAAAAAAGATAAAATAAAAGCCTCAGAATATTGCAACAAGTATAAAATATTGCTGAAAATGTAGGATCTATTAGCTACTCCTTACATATCACAGATATGAGCATCACAGTCTTAAAGGTCATGACCAGCAGTGACCTACAGTAAAACAAACTTATAACGAAGTGCTAGGGACAGACGATTTTGTTTCATTATAAAGAAATTTGCTATATCTGTTAAATTCACAATATATTTAAAAGCTAAGGGGAATGAAAATCCCTTTACTTTAAGTGCCAATTCATTATAAGCATGCTCACTATAAGCATGTTTTACTGTATATACATGTAGATATATGTTTTCATTAGAAAAAAATTAATAAATAAAATTAATGTAAATGTACATATTACCAAACAAAGGAATCAAACATGAAAAAGGGAAAATGAAATATGTATTCACTGCAATACATATTCAATGCACTTCATTTAAATCTCCCTAATTTTCATTTACATGTGTATTTCAAAAAAAAAAAAAAAAAAATTAGTATGCCTTGTGACATGTACATGTATTTTATAAAGCTCTCTAGTTTTGAATTTTAATCAACTACTTTATTTACACTTTTAATTTCTTACTATATAACATTTCAAATATACATAACTTATTTATACACATCAATGTATAATCAAGTGGTGCTAATTAACAAGTGCTAAGCAGCTTAGATGGACGGGTAAAATTTTAAAAATAAAATCTCATTTACAGGTAAATACAAATATGTACATGTATTATCACCAGTTTAATCCATTTGATTGTTGGTGTCTATTTTTTTTGAGAGAGAGAGTTTTCCGTTCACTCTGACTGTGGAAGACATTTTCTATACAACTTGTCACATATCCAAGTCTCACAATTGATTCCACAACAGTCTAAGCATTGGTCAGGGAGTATCTGTCAAAGTCTGAGGTACTCTACAGAACATACAAAACAGTTACATTATCATTTTAATGTTTCAAATATGTGCTGTTATTTACACAAAATTTTATGGAAGATATAATTTGCATGAAGGGAATTTGAAACAATGTAACATATATACTAGGGGATCCAATGCACTGAAATTGACCTGCAGGGAGATACAAGTATTTTCCTCCTTACCTAATTATAGCTTTTATACAGATAACATTTCAATTTGAAACATACATGCACTTGTGTGTCACAAAAATTACAAACATGACCATGCAAAGCACAGAAAAATGTATAATATAGAATTCATTTTTTTATTTGAAGTAGGCCAGTCTAAGTATGTAGTTCACATTTCACGTTAAAACTTTTATCTTGCATGATTTTTTTTTTGGTTTTGTTAAGAGTTAAAGCTCAGAGATGTAAAACGATCATTTTTGTCCTCGCTATTTTATATGAAAGTTTTACTTCATCCTAACAATATAAGTTACCGTTATACTTACATCTACAAAGGAGGGGGTCCCTGAAAATGACACATCCCTATTGTGTGGAGACTGGTCCATCAAAATAGTGGAACCTGGTAACAGACAAACATGTAAAATACAAGGGAAGAAGATTTATTTAACTGCTATAAATATCTTGAATTTGTCTACTGTGAGCTCATACTTGAGGGAAATAAAGAACAATGGTGCAAAATTTTTAATGTGCAGTACGTCATATACATGTACATATTTGTTTTATGAAAACTCAGCACTATACCCACTTAATTATCTCTTCTTTAGAAAAATATACATTTTAAATTCTATAAATCATTTGTTACTCAACAAAGGTAAATACACTATCTATTATGATGCAACACATCTTCTTCTGTGTTACAGAATGTTAGATATTGAGTTTCAGCTTCCCTACAAATCTCATTTCTAAAAGCAATAGAAGTTTGGACTTTTTAAAAAATGTGCTTATATTTAAAGATTTCCTTTTCTTTTGAAGTTTATGAATGACTTACTGGGATTATCATCCATGGTGTAGTGAGCTGACAATGTATACTTGTTGTAATCTCTCTCCATCCCTACTTTTTGCCAGAATTTGCTGACATCTGCATCTGGTATCTGGACATTGTATATCCTTATCTGCAATTCAATATGCAAAGGAATATACAGTAAATTCTTTTCTTGATTTAATTTCCAAAACATTAAATTGGTTTATAAATCAATAAACCCTCAGGAAACATCTTGCAAAACCTTTCTGTGAAATACAGGAGATTTTACAAGGTATTAGGGATGCCATATACCAATCATAACAAAAAATCCTATTACTACTTAATCCAAGGGTGTTATCCACTTACATCATCCAGTATTCCTGTTAAATAATTACTTCCATCAAATCCTATGTACAACACCAAGTCTGATGCCTACAAATATAAACACATGTACATGGAATCAATTGTGTACATAAAGATACTGTACAAGTAAATTTATAAGTGACAACATTTCAAAGTTTTACTTTCCCCTTTGGAATCTTTATTTCCACATTTCACATCACAATCATTAAATTGAAAACAACATCCTACCCAAGTAATTTCTTCAAGGCCTGTAGATTCCACTTCTTTGGTCCCATTGACAAAAAGAGACAGAGTAGCAGCTATAAAAGAAAGTTTAACGAAACTTTTACATGTATTAATTTTGTGCACATTTTTTTTTACAGGTACATGTACATCTCCATCATTTAAATAATTCCTGACACTGTTAGGAGAGTTATGAATTTACCTTGTGCATTGTATCTCATCAACACATGATTATATCTGTTGTCTGTGAGGGAAGTTGTTCCTGTCACGCTGGACGTCTTAACCTGGCTTTTGAAAACCCCTCCCTCCACAAAAAGGCAGAGATCACTTCCGTTTGTACAGAGTATCGGGATCTTGGTGGAAGGGTATCCTGTAGGAAGGTTCACCCAAGCTTCCATGGTAAAACTGAAAGTAAACCATCTCATTTTAATGTCTCTTTGTTCCCAAAAAATATTTCTTTCACCATGTAATGTGCACTAAATGTCGATCCCAACACTTGCAATTTTCAATCCTATATGATCCCATCAGTGGCTCTTATATACTCAGCTTAAGATATGTGAACTGATGATTTTATTTTAAATACCGTATATACTCGCCTATAAGTCGGTTTTTTGGGAGTTAACTTTGGGTCCAAAACTCTTCATCCGACTTATACGCGAGTTATAAAAAAGAATGGTATTTAAGCAGGTCAATCCCTATAATTGAAGCTTTAAAATGCAACCGACTTACAGGCGGACCGACTTATAGGCGAGTATATACGGTATGCTAATTAATCAACGTAATGTATCATGTTTTTAATAAATGTGGGTTCTAATGATAAAATTTCTAGAGGCACTACCTTTTCTCTATTCTCAGCCCGCTCATATTCCCAATAATGCCATATGTAGATCCATCCAAAGATAAAGCCTTGTTGGTTCTGTAAGATAATGTAACATTACACTAAGTATTTCATACCTAACAGTGGGAGGGGGGATTTAACTGCCTGTTCTGATTCTGTAACTGACCTGTCCTTGCATTCAAATCTCATGTCTGACCATATGACCCCTGTCTGGTTGTAAGAGAACACCCCAATCCTTCCTCCAGGAATGGAAACATCATAGAGGGTACCGGAATCAGCAATCATGGTGTCCCCCTCCTTCACGTACAATCTGTGTGAACAAAACACAATGGTAACAGAGGAAGAACTTAAAATCAATTGCATGAATATTTATAAACAAGCTGTAATAATCATCTATCTGTAACAAATTTTATTAACTTAGAATTTGTGTTGTTGATACAGAATTTTATATTTAAATATATTCAATTTATGAAGAAACATTTATTCAGTTTGGTTAACTTTAAGAGCACATTCAACATTTCCTCTAAACATGTACATTTAAGCACATTAAGAGAAGTAAGCAGATAACCTGAGAATTCCCCTTGATGGAGTGTGTTGTATGGTCCACCTATAACTAGTTCTACACTTCCAGCCTGTCAGTGTGGGGTCCTGCCACAACAATCGGGAGTATGACGTCACATCATAACTCTGATATAATGCATTAGCATAATTCTGTCCTACGTTGTTAGTTGTCTGCATAACCTACAAATGTACACACGATGCTCCCATTTTTTTTGCCTCCAATGTGATTAAAAAAATGGTGTCTGATGTTGCCTTTCATGTATTTACAATAGAAAGTGGGTCATTGAAAGAGTGATTGTCAGACAAATAATACTAACAAGAAAATCTTTATAAATCAAGAATGAATGTGTTTACTAATTCAGTATCACATCTTTCATCTAATTCTTCTGTTTGCGATCTTATTACTCTTCAATACACTGTACCATACCACTGCATCAATACGAGACTCACCCTAAGCTGTACCCCTTTGATACCTCCATATATGTTGTAATTTAGATGGACATGTCTCCACAGTGTTATGTAGTATTCCTGGGTGGAGTGATAGCCAAAAATAAACCCTATGTAACCATAGCACTCATCACTCTGGGCATATGTAGTAACAGAATATTCCATGTGATCAAAGTAATGATTCCCTAGGAAAAAAAAACAGCAAGAAAATATTAATCTGTTAGCTGAAAGAAATATAATTCTTATTCAAGAAGCCCAATTCAAATTTTCCATTCATATTAACAAAGTGCAATGAAGACACACATCTTTTTGTTTCATATTTTTTATTGTTATAAAATGATTTCATTTTACCCCTGAGACCTTTGAAATGCTTATTAAATTGTAATAAAAAAATCTAATTTTAATGACATTTCAGGGAGATATGAATTTAAAAAAAAACACCTATATAAGCAGCTGGTTTGAGAGTAGTCTCAGTTTGCCTGACTTCTCTCCCCTTGTCCATGATATGCCAAACAGGTGCCTTCTCTGAGGTCAAGGACGGGTTAAGGTCAATAGAAGTGTAGTCTGTGAAGTTTATGGAGCTGATGTCCTTGTTTTTGGGACAGGCATCAAGGTTGTTCACAACACTGTCCTGGTCAAGGTCACTTTCACAAACATCACCAACTCTATTTCCTTTACAAAAAAAATGTGATATGTACATGTAGAATTTCACTGCCTATAAATTAAGTTTTAATATGAAATTCAAACTGTTGAAATAAAGCTTTTACGTATCAAGATGAGGCATCACTGTTATTTTGTGGAGAAATATGAATATAAATATATTTTCAATTTCTGAAAAATTTCTAAAGGCCCGGATCACAAATACCATTGGCATCAGCTTGGTCTGCATTGGAGACATATACACAGTTGTCCACTGTATTGAGGACTCCATCATTGTCAATGTCCGAGTCACAGAAATCTCCAGTTCCATCCCTGTCAGTGTCAGTCTGCTGGGAGTTTGGAACTTCAGGACAATTATCCTTAAAGTCTGGTATGCCATCACCATCTCTGTAGAAAATACAAGTTTTATAACACTGAATATGCTAGCTGGAAAAATGAATGTAGGTGCATTCCACTATGTTCATTAGCTGCCACTGATATGCCTTATTTTCCAAAGATAATCCCATAAATTGTTCTAACCCGAATACCACAGATGAAGAAGCCTCTAACTTAAAACAGCAATTAAATGGTAGTAAAAATTGATCTTTTTTAATAACTTTTAAAATATATTCAGAACATAATGGCTGGATAAGTACATTAACCTCTTTGAATGAAAATAGCTTCTAGAGACAAACAACATCGGCTTTATGTACGGTACATGTTTATTACAATGTATGTACTACATCATAATGTTTACCCAATATCTTATTTATTCAATCATTTTTGTTTCTCTTAAAAACAATAAAAAAATTCATAAAACTGTTTCAAACACATCTGTAACATAATTCACATGTTAGAAAATGTAACAGTTGCTTTCTCAAGAATCACGTCTGGAAAGAAAGTTCAAAATGTGCAGATGTAGTAGATTTTACAACTTACTTGTCTTGTCCATCACAACTGTCACCCACTCCATTAAAGTTAGAATCTGTCTGGGCAGCATTACTGACTTGTGGACAGTTATCACACTCATCTCCTACACCATCCCCATCTGTGTCAGTCTGGGCTACAAAAGTTAATTCCATTACTGAACAGCTGACTCTACTAGATTTTCAATATGCATATGTATGTACAGTATCTACCAGTATGTCCTTATCAATGATGTGTAGTTAATCTATATGCCCTAAGAAATTTACATAGGGATAGCAACTTGAAAGAGAAGATATTTTCAATTGCATTAAAATAAATTCATCTGCAATACCCTATGTTGACAAGATTAACAAAAATATTTACCAGTGGTAGCCACAAGTGGACAGATGTCAACAGGGTCCAGAAATCCATCGCCATCCTTATCATTGTCCGTGTGACAGACATCCCCCACTCCGTCCCCATTGACATCAGACTGGTCAGGATTGGCTACATTTGGACAGTTATCACAGCGGTCACCAACACCATCAGAGTCAGTATCATTCTGATCATAATTGGCCACATACAGACAGTTATCCTGTGGGAAGTAAAAATGGGACTACTGTAATCAAACACAACAGAGAATACTGGGAACTTACATTTAAGAAATGTTTTTAAGTTTTGTGTGAGTTATTGGTGTGTAAATCACACAGACTTGTCATGTACGCATATTTCATGAAGTGCGCTAGTGCTTCATGAAAAATATGCCTAAGTGCAAGTCTGTGTGATTTACACACCAATAATTCACACTAAACTTAAAAATATTCCTTATATTTACATTTTACAAGACTAGTTTAAAAGCACCAATAATATACTCAATATTTGAATTTCTTGCTGCCCTATATCATTACATTTTTATTTACGTCTCTATAGCCTCATTGTGACGTCACTTTAGCGCAAGTTTCACCGTGTCTATTTCTACGCGTGAGTATACACAAAAATGACTTTCAAATCAATTTCACACTTGGCTTAGTAGAAAAACACAGCAAATGTAAATATTTCCAAGAGGAAAATATTCTGGAGTTTCATGACATTCTTTTTCTCAAATACACTTCTTTCATCAAACCATACATTTCATAGAATGTTTCCTCAGTTGCACAAATGAACAGTCATAGATGTCAAACTGAGAATCACAAATAAAAACTCACGCTTATAATAGTTGTTTTACAGTGCATGTGTACTGGCTTGGTAAGTGAAAGAACATAAAAGTGAAAAGTTCCTTCCAAAAAATAGAAGTTTTCTCCAACAAAGTTCTTGAAAGCTATATAGAGAATTTTTCATAATCCTTGTAATATTTCTCCTAAACTCATTTTCCTGATCCCTATATTCTTCAACTCTCGATGACTTTTGCAACAAAATCTCATACTAACACCTTAACAACTAATCTGAAGTGACATCATACCTGTGATGTGACATCATACCTGTGATGTGACATCATACCTGTGGCGTGACATCATATGTGTGAGTGACATCATACTGTGAGGTGACATCATACCTATGAGGTGACATCATACCTGTGACATGACATCATACCTGTAACATGACATCATGCCTTTGACATGACATCATACCTGTGACATGACATCACACCTGTGACGTGACATCATACCTGTGAGGTGACATACCTGCGAGGTGACATCATACCTGACTATCGTAGATGACATCATTGTCATCATCATCATCACAAGCATCTCCCACACCATCTGTGTCAGCATCCTCCTGCCCACTGTTGGGATCTGATGGACAATTATCCTGAAGACAATAAATTTTTTAAGTATTGTTTCAACAAGATCATTAGTAGATATTCTTATTACTTGCTCCAATTCAGCGACAGTATCATGATTCCAGTCATTTTGTAATTTAAATTTGCATTAATTTACAGCCATTATATACTGTAAACATGTAAGTTTACAGGTAATTTAAGCTGTATTAAATAAGTAGAATGAATCATTCAGACTGTTCCTTACTGAGTTACAGCTGTCTTCAGAGCAGGGCAGTCCTAGTGTAGGGACTCCATCTTGATCTGGATCATCTCCACAAAGGTAACCATTACCTGCCCATCCATTGTTACACTTAAATAAAAACAGATAATAAATTTCTTCAACAAACCTTACAAAAATGCCCAAGAATTTTCTGTAGTACATGTATTTGCTATACAAAACTGTTTTTTCTTTTACAAACCGTGACAAAATATGATGCAATATCTTAGAATACAACAAAAATTTAGTTCTCTAAATCCCCCTCCCCATGACAAAAATATAATGTCTATCTAAATGTGCAAGTCTCAAAATTAACTCTTCATATCCAAATGACTAATTGGCAGTTCTTCTTACCACACACTTGTATTCCTGAGGTCCTGTGTAGTAACACGTGGCATTGGCATCACAGGTGTGTTTACCTGAGAGACAGTAGTCGGCCAACTCACAGCCGGTCACGCTATTACCTACATATCCCTCCTTACAGAATCCACAACTGTAACTACCCTGAAATTTAAACAATCAAACATTAAAACTGATTTCACTATTTTCTAAGAATAATCAACTGTCTTACATTCACAATGGATATTTTCAATTATTCTCCTTCCCACCTACATGTTAATAATTTCGAATTTAGAAGTCCTGTCTACGTGTATACAACTTCTATGTGTCATTAGTCTCATTTTCAAACAAATATGGAAACATTAATGACTGTTTAGAAACTATAATTGTCCTCTATGAAGAAATCATAATGCACAAAAAATATAATTTCTCTCATGCTCCATCCCCACCAACCCCCTACTTTTTTCAGGTAATTCAGATCTTTCTTTCACTTAACACACTCCAGCTGATTTGAATTTGTTCAAACTTACTTGTGTATTTGTACAGTAAGCATTTGGATCACAGCCTCCATTGTTGGATAGACACTCATTGACATCAGAGCAGGTCTGGTACTGTGTAGGATCTAACACATTATTGTACAGCTGGAACGTCCTCCTGCTTATATTGAGAGAAAGCCCATCCTCATAGGTGCCTACATACCCCAGAGGACAGGCCAGACACTGGAACCCAGGCTCTGTGTTTCTACAGCGCTGCATAAAACAGGGTGGTGGAGTAATGGTGGTACACTGTAGATAGAAAGGTCAAAACTGCAACATTTCCTATAGTTTTTGATACCAATTACTTAATATACATGTCTCTTCACTTGATAACACACAAATGAAATTTAACTTACTTCACATATATATTTACTATAAGTAGTAAGGTCTTTTGTAGCCGGAAAATTACCTCATCCACATCTGTACATGTTACTCCATTGCCTGTATATCCTGTGGGACAAGAGAGACATCCATGACTACCATCCATATTATAGCAGAGATCAGGGTGGTAACACAGTGTGGTGCTGCCCAGACAGGGACACTGGGTGGTGGAGCCACACGAGTTACATCCACTGCCATCAGAGGCAGCGTACGTCCCCGCCTCACACGGGTCACAGCGGTCCTTACTAGCTGAGCTGTAGTAACCAGCAGGACAATTCTTACATGTACTTTGTCCTACCTCATCTTGATATTTACCAGGGGAACACATTGTACAGAACTCTGAAAAACAGGATCAAAATTTAGAATTAATGTAATGACAGGTTTAAGTCACATATCAAATATGCATCCAATCTTATTACTCTACCCTTTCAAATTTTTTTTTTTTTCATTTCTTCGTATTCAAATACATGTACATACAGTAGCCTGCTGGTTGTATTCAATTCAAAAGCTAAACACCAAAATTAACAATTAGCATTTTTCATGAACTACCTATACAATGTACACGTACAATTGAACTTCAGTATCTTAAACACTGATATCTCAGACGCCACGGATATGTCGAAGTGATTAAGAAGTCCCAACCACTTATTCTTTAAGTATTTTACCATCAGTTTCTCGAATCCTTGGATATCTCTCAGTTTTTTCTTGGTCCCATTGAGTTCAAGATAAAAAGGTTTGACTGTATTTATTATGATGCAACACCTCTTTGCTTTTCATTTGATCCATTGTTTAGTTAATAACTCTAACACTACACACTACCTTTCACACTGAAAACACTGATAAATCAGAAATGAGAATTCCACTCACTGACATTTCCATCGGAGTAAGTTCCTGTCTGACACTGGTACCTTTTCCCTCCTCTACAGGCGTAGCCTAGCTCACACTGAGTACAGGAGGTGGGGCAGTAGGTGTCATTACAGGTCACGTAGTGGAAGTCTGGACATGGGGTGGCATACCCATCCTTACAAATCTGTAATGGAAAAAAATATTGAAAGTAACATGACAATAAAAATTTAGTCATGTTATATCAGACATTGAAAAGACTGAACATATTAACTGATTTCAATTTTGTGACACCCCCCCCCCCCACCCCCTTTTTTAAAATCAGGAATTAATAATGAAGTCATTAATTAACATACAGGCACTAAAATCTGAAGGTCTTTTTTTTAAATGAAAATACTGAAGTGATTTCTCATATAATCATTTCTGGTATATTACACACTTTAATAACTACTGTAACTCACCCAGCCCTCAGGACATGTGGTACAGGATGCTGCTGCCCCAAAACTGTGCTCTGTGGGTGAGCGACCACAGGTGGAGCCAGAGACTGGGGGGTCACAGCGCCCACAGGGCTTGATGGTGGAGTCTCCCTCACAGTACCACGAGGTTAAACATCTTTGACAGGTTGTGCGGTCTACAAAGCAACAGCTCATATTCAAGTCAATTACTGTTGAATATTTTCATCTCCTGGAACTTAATAACATAATAAAGAACCCTACTTACAATACTGATATTTGGCATAAGAACATCCTTTAAATTCCAGTCTTACACCAATGGCATTGTTCCAGGTGCGTGGGTTAATCCTGATGTAGGTTCCATACACAGCAGGCACCATAGGGACACTTACTACTGTGTCCCTGTCAATGGCTCCCTCAAAAACCTACAAACAGATAGGGAACTTACAGACAAGTCAGATATAGATACATAGAGCAACACCTACAACAGGTAATATAAAACACTGTCTGAATATTATATTCCTGTCAGATGTTCACACTCAAAAACATACAGATAAAGAAACTATATAATGACAAATATCACACTCACTACTGTGTTGTTGTCAGAATTTTTCTAAAATACCTGCAGTTGACCAAGCAGGTTACATACATTTACAAATAGATGTACCATATAATAAGGATGGAGAAGAGTACCTCCTTGTCTAATCCCAAGGGCTGTGTTAATATGACATACCGATGCTCCTGAAGAGTTTGTGTAAGTGTTCCAGCTGACTCCATCAGCACTGTACTGTACAGCAAAACTAGTCACCCAATTGTCCACAGAATCCTGACCTTGTATCTGTACCACGTGGATAAAGGTAGCTTCTGTTAGGTTGACCTCTATGTACTGGCTGGTATCAATGACAGAGGGGACCCAGCCTCCTGTCAAAGACCCCAAGTTGGCTGGAAGAAAAAGCATCATGATTATAATGCAATGCAATTATAATGCAATCACAATTAATACTACATGTACTATATGTAGTATGATAAAGTTTAGACAATGGTTAAATTATACTATCATAAATACTACATAATACAACATTATCAAGATTATCACTGCAGTTTCATCATCATTATATTTACAGTATACAAAAACAGATTTTTTTTTCCTTTTGCTTTTTTTGCAAGTATTGAAAAATGACACCATTTCCAATATCAGATATCAGTATTTTTCCCAATTTCAGGATTGAAATTTCCAAATTTGCTAGGCATATTCAAGTGACTTTGTCAAAATAACCTTGAACAAGACGTACAGTGTATATGTTTGGATTACAAATTGCATAAGATTTATCTGAACCTTCTGACAAGCTATTTTTAAAAGAGAAAACCTTAGTCATATTTTACCAGGCAGTTGTGTCATGTTGAGTCTGCCTCTTTCACCTCCACTGGTAGAGGAAGTAGACGACACAGTGATGTACTTGTCTAGAATGACTCCACTCTCCATTCCCAGCGCATCATCACAGGCTGTACACACACACACAAAAAAAATAACATGTACAAAATGTAATCACTAGCTTACAGTGAAAACTCCTCATGAACTCTTAGGTTTTATTTGAACATTTTTTTTTTTTTTGCTTTTTGTTAATTCAGTGCAAAAATCAAAGTCTTCTTTTTAACAGACACTATAAAAGTCACAAACAAACACACATACATTATCAAGAAGGAATCAAGAAATTGGGTACACATACTGTATTCATAATAGTAATATCCTGGAAGTCTGTGGTAAATTTCCCCGGTGGAGACATTAACAGTCATGGTATAGGGAATGGCTTTGTACTCCACATCAATAAGACATGAGTTGTCAATGTCCACCTCCACAGAGGCGGTGGCTCCACGCGTGGGGCTACCACCATCCACCACAATCACTGTAAACTTCAACAGTGTATTGGCTTCATAAACCTCTTTGTATAGGTCCATGGTGTCATTGAAAATGGAGATAGGGGGACTGGAATGAATATGACTCCAAAATTAGAACCATCAACAATAAATTTTGCAACATTGTGACATACATCTAGAAGTGCTTTTTTGAATCCTGAGTGATAGTCTGACTTACTCCTCTGTGATGGTAGAGATGTAGAAGGAGAGAGCTGAGTTATTTCCACTGTCAATGTCTGTAGCATTCAGATCAGCTAGAGCTGACGACTTGAGAGCAGGGATAGCATTGAGCTTGTACAGAGTCTGTGTTAACTCTGGACAGTTGTCATTGACATCAGACACCTTAACCTGCAAAGCCAAGCAAATCATAATCCTTAGGATCAGGGAAACATGAGTCACGGGTAATAGTTCCCACCTGGGTAACATTGCTATTTATTACTAATAACCTGTGCCAGGTACATGTAACTATAGAGCTACATGTACTTTTGACAGCATTTGTGCCAGTGGAGGGTATAGATTCTTTTAAATCACATTGATTCTTTCCACTATGGGTTTACAGTCAAAACTGTCTTAGAGGCACCTTGAAATCAATGGCTACTCCTTAAAACAGATTAGACTGTATTTACTTTGACAGTGATTGTGCCAATATACATGTCAGTGATTCTGTCCACTATGTGTGGTTTTACCTTAACAGTGATTGTGCCAGTGGAAGGTGGAGTTTTGCCTGTATCCACAACCTCCATCACAACACTGTATGTGGTGTTGACCTCATAGTCTAGACTCGAGTCCAGTGTAAATAGTGCTGTTTCTGTGTTCATCGTAAAGGTTTCTACTGAACCATCATAGCTTTCAGGGGTTATTGTAGATGGGGTGGCACATTCTAAAATTAAGAATTCAAGTAAAAATTCAAGTTCAATGTTTTGGTCAAGCTTACAAAAATTTCTGTTGTAAGTTTTGAATGCAAAGAATATAACAGCTTCATCATTAGTGATAACACATACATATTAATATGACAGATTTTAGCATAGTTTAAACTTAATTTTGTCACTTTCAATGGAGATCCAAGCGGCATTTATAAGACACATACCAACAAAAGTATGACCATTAATGGTGGTATAACTTGGGGCAACTGTAGGTGGAGCCACTGCTGCATTCACATTAGCTGTTGTCTTGTCCTTCAAAGTGAAATGTCTTGCCTCATTTCCTAAAATAACAATCTTTTTTATTAAAACTACAGTTCATCAAATTCAAAGCATACACAAGGATCATAATTTTCAAAGTTTCTACAATTTTCTTAACTCCTAACTAACCTCTGAGAACATTAATGGTAAACGGAGGTCCCACTGAGAAGATATCAGCCAATACAACTTCAGCTACGATACCATTTTGGTGGAAGTCTTCCGCGACTGTAACAATGTAGTCTCTGGGTGGTTCCTCAGCAGGATCCACAATGAACTGGAAGTCTTCCGTCTGAATGTATAGACTGGAGGCACAGGACAGACGTTCCACATGGAAAATTGAGAAGTGGTACCTCTCCCCTACCTGGTAAATGTACAGGAAATTATAAATTATGAATTCAGATTTAATTGTGAAGGCTTGAGATTTGGAAATATATGTAGTTTTACTTTTTTTTCATTACCTCCAGTTCAACATGCACTTGCTCTGCTGGCAAGGTACCGGTGACTACACACAAGCTCGTTGTGGGAGACACCAGACCATACTGTGGTATGATGTAGCTTCCACCTAAAATTACAAATAATCAATGTTTGTGCAACTATTCTCTTTACACTACAGTAAAACTCATTTAGTACGAACACGGATATAGCGAATTCAAGGACGTAGCGAAGTTTTCTTGGATCCCCAGCTATATAAATCTTACGAATTCCTTATACGGGTATAACGAATTACAGATATAACAAAGTAATTTCACAGGTCCCAGTGACTCCATTATAACCGAGTTTTACTGTATCTACTTTCTTTAAAATTTCCATTTTTTGAACTCCAGTATGCTACCTGGGGTACTAGCTGTACTGAGACTGATCTTTTTACAGGGTACATTAGTCCCTGTGTTTCTGGAGCTGATCTCCATCACAAACTTCCCATTGAGGTACAGCCACAGATCATCCCCTCCTCCAATAGTGATAGACTCTGTTCCTTGGAAAACAAATCCAGATCTGATGGCTGAGGTGAATCTGTAATGACAATCTTCAGATTAATTACACACACATATATCAAACTTACTCCAAGTTTATATAATGAAACACAGAGAGTCACACCTGGATTTCTCTATGTACAGAAGATATTGGGTAGGGATCCAGATTTGTAGGATAATTTTTACCATAAATGAGATCATGACCAGCATACTCTATTAAGATCACTTTTTATTCACGAGAACTATATTTTCATGTAATTTTGCGAGAATGATTGCTAGCCTAAGCGTTAGTTTTGTTTTTGAGTATAGTTATACAAGTATAGATTATATACAGCAATAACCAAAATCCTTAAAAATGTTGTCTCACTTATAAATACCAAGTATCGAAAATAAGGTCTCAAAAATTTTGGTGATCTACAGTAAGGGAAAACAGTACCCAAAATTGTGCTCCACACCATAGCAGTCCTTGTCCTGGTTACCGAATCCCATGTTGTCCACAGGGAAGTAGCTGTTCTGGGCAGTAAACCTACAGAATGACACGTAAACACTGTCAATTCAACATATCAAACATGCTCTTATATTTGTTGCAACTCTGGCACAAATGTGGATTAAATACATACAAATGCTGTAAATTTCTCATTCCAAAGTTACACGTCAAATATATCCTTGCAGTGTCCAGAAACCACCCCTTACCTGTGTGTTACTGGGGAGGAAGAAGAGATAAGCGTCAATGTGATATTGTCTTTATATACATAATTCACCGAGGTTCCTGTCTGATCCACGAACCAGCCGGAGAAGGTGTCAGATTTTGGATTAGATGATCGCGACAGCCAGGACCCATACGGACTTGGAACATATGTCGGCTTAGAAATGATGGCATTCGAGAATCCATTAAAATCTGAATTTGTTACACTGTAATAGAACAAAATTGTGCTAAATAACATCATCATTTACCTGTAAGGAATTATAGCACTTGAATTCTTTTCTCTTGAACAATTTGACATGTCTCACTTTGGAGCATTGAATTTCATTTGTATGCAAAAATATCTGCAATGTCTCAACAAACCTATAATCATAGTAAATGATGGGCAATATCCAGTCTGTGGCTCCAACTGTTACATTAGGACTAGTGGCTGTAGAAAAAAGAGGGAATAGTAAAAGTAGCTTTTAAAAACTAATTTGCTATGTGAAACAACCGAGGCAACACTTTATCAAAATTCCTACGGACGTCAGATACCTTAACAGCATGCACATTTCTCTAGTCTTTGATCAGTATTAAAATCAAACATAATTTACAGATATATGCCAGTCTAAATCTTACCAGCAGCAGCCTGTGTAGTGATCACTACTGGTTGACTCTCGGCACTAGTTGCATTAGACATTACCAGAGCCGCTGTACACACGTAGGTGGTGCCTGCAGTGATTCCGTCAGCTGATGTAAAGGTATGCGTGGTGCCATTTACAGAAGCCTGAGAAACCACTCCTCCTGGATTGCTAGTACACGTCAATCTGTATTGCCTACAAAGTCATACGTGTACCTACTTAATTTAATTAGCGACAATGGATAAATGTTTGTCAAATATACTGAGCATTCCCTTTGGCTACCCATTTACCCATTCTCTTACGAGGTTAAAGACATGGACAAAGTGCACAATACAAAGCATTTACAATTCAATAAAATGATTCTTTGATTGTGGTGATCAGTCCTAAATTTAAATTGCCTACTCATTTATATACAGGTAAACTTTGATATCTCGAACTTGGCGGGACTGAGGAAAAACTTTGAGATATCCGAGTGTTCGAGATATCGAAGTTGATGAATTTGGTACCGATATTGTTATGTTACATGTTCTATTCACAGGAAATTACCCCCCCCCCCCCTCCACCACGTGCATAATTTAAGCGGTAAATGTTTCAGTTCGTACTTAGTGATATCTTTTTAAAAATACATTTACATATACACTTCTAACGCATATATTATTATATTCAATACTGCAACACTTACATTTAATTTTTACAAATTTTGATCGCTTTCAATAGTGATAATCATGCTGGTTTCAGGATTTCTGATACCCGTATATGTGTTACGCTTTGTAAATGATAAACCGATCACTGTAGTAAGGATTAAGACGGAAACATGAATTATTGATCTACAATAATTTATTAAAATTGCCAATATGCATAAACAAAAGCAAACTTTGTTTCGATTGTATGAACTTTAAGTTTTCTTTATTACACCACGGTCAGATAATCTAACTATCCCCCGGGCTAGCTACCGGGTCCTTCGTTAGATTGCCTTATCAGACATGATGTGTACTGAAGATTTAGATTTTTGGTACTGACTTTTATACTCAAAATAATGTCTTTAATTGTTTAATTTCTTGAGTTCAATATCACTTTGATGTGTTCAGTGTTTACTTTGATATGTAATAATATGTATAAGCATGTATTTTCGATAAATTTTAATTCCTATTACAGTAATCATTCCCAAGCCGCTGTTTCATTATCGTGTCATCATATCTCTGAGTGTGCATTTAATTAACATCTCCAAATCACCTGGCCTGCATAATTAAATTTAACTACCAAAAACAACAGTTTGGGGCTAATAAGGTGTGATTATCAGCAATAGTCTCATGAAGCCTGTGCTAGACCTAACCGAAATGTTCAACAGACCGTAAAATTAGCATAATGGGATTATTGTGTATTAAGGTGTGAATTCAGCTGAGCGAGAAATTTGTTGGACTTCGAGATAATGCATGTGTTTATAGCACTTGAGACCGTAAATCTACTTCGAGATAAGCGAGGTATTCAAGATTTCCGTGTTCGAGATACTTCAAGATATCCGTGGTATTTGACATATCGGTGTTCGAGATACCAAAGTTTACCTGTATACATTTTTAAAAAGTCTATATAGTCCTGTATAAAATCTGAACCTTTTTGTCACCCTATGTTGACTTTGAGGGTCAAGGCTTCTACAAGATACATGTATTGTACTTGCATGATTGTAATTTTTATAGTTCATATACACAAGCTTTCATCCAAAACAAAAGTATGGGAAATTTGATCAGTAAATACCAGCCACTAGCCACAGCATCAGCAATGTAGGTACTGGAGGACACAGTGTTATTCGGGCGTGTCCAGGACACGGTCAGCTGGGTTGATGAGGGGGACGATGCCACTAGGTTCACTGGGGCTGTAATACAAATTTCTCAAATGAAATTAAGTTAATTCAATAAAAAACATTGTTATGCAAACTATCATGAAATATTTAAATCTTGCTTAAAATATTTAAATCTTGCTTTAAAAAAATTATCCACCTATATTTGGTAATTCCCTTTTCAAAATTACTGGTGTCATTTTTCATGTTAATATATAAATCTTTGGGAAAACAGTTTTTTGAAAATTTCAGAATACGTATATCATTTTGAAAACATTTTTTTTGTTATGTTGCTCAATTAAAATGTAACCTCAAAAAAATTTATTGCCTTAAAATTGAAAAAAGGTGTCTTTTTCATAATAAGAATGTCAGAAATCTGAAGGCATCCCTCTATCTTTTCCTTAACTTGGATCTCTAGTAAAATAATTATTGTTGGATGCTTAGTGAAAAAAATTCTTGTTGTGTGTAAAGACTTCTGAAATACATTTACTTACAGCATAGAAACTTTGTGAGCTGTTGGTTTTCAAAATACATGGGGGAGGTTTTATTGGAGTATCCAAACAGAACTCCTGCGACGGAGGCTGGGGTCCCACACTGACCCCCACTGATGGTACTCTGTACAGCAAGGAGGGTCTCATACAAGTAACAATCACACCCCATCTGTAAGTTCTCATCAAGCTTCCTGAAGAAGAGTAAACATCAACTAGGTTATTTCAATGTCTCTCTGCTTTGGCAAAAAATGATTTAAGCACTGAATGCTGCCAATTTTTTTTGGTTTTTTGTTTTGTTTTTTGGCAATGAATACTGTAAAGTCGCGTGTATTGGCCGCAATGGTGTAAAAGACGCACCCCCAAAGTTGGGGTGAAAATCCTAAAAAAAAAACGCAGGTCCTATGTAAAGTGCGCATCCAAAAAAAAAAACGCAGAAATTGGATGTGGCTTTAATTTTTCTAGTACAGTAACTTAAGGTAAAAATAGGAAAACTTACGAATCTCAAACGAAAGTATCAAGTCAGCTTTTTTACTCTATGTATTATAAGTGTGCATGTGTTAACATTTAAATTTAATCTTTTTAATAATTATCTAACCAGAGATAATAAAAGACAAACCTGTTTATCTTCTTTTCAAATTAATTCCAAGCGTGTTATGAAGTTATGCTTACTGGTACATGTATAATGCATAACAAGCGCAAGTCGGTATTTACATAAACAAAAATCATACCCAAGCAGTATTAGTGTCAAAGGTTTGGCTTTGGGTAATTAAACAGTTCTTGGTATCCATCGATAATTATTTTAGTTAGCTAGTGCAATGAACAATCAGTGCTGTGACCATGATGACGTGCTAAATGAACATTTTAATATTTATGTCTTATGAATATTTTCTTAAATGTGCTTGATTGTATTTTACAAATATGTTTTTATATGTGCTTCTGACTGAAATATGTTTTAATAAAATTCTTTTAAAAAACGTGTCGCTTTCATTGCAGGTGTTGAGGTGATAATTGTTAAATAAACAATGGTCATATCCTATGTGACAACATAGACTGAAGTTATATATAGCAATGACGCGACAATAGAATCCCTAACGATTTTGTACCTCTAATTGCATATCTGAAATTTAAAAAAAATAAAAATGAAAGAAAAAGTGAGCAAGCTCACATACCCCACGCTTCCCCAAAACTCGACAATGCAACACGTAATGAATGGCACAGTGCATTTTAAATACACAGTATAATTCAAAAAAGGGGCATTACTTGCAAAAAATCATCACATCAAAACTTCTTGCATATAAGGACATTCAAATCTTTGTATGTTACAAATTTAACTGGGCTGAAGTTTCTAGATAAATAATGGAATCAAAATTTCTTGGTAATATACAAATCTATACATTATTCTGAAATACCTACAAAGTTTCAGGAAATTCAGTGCCGGAATTATGCTGACAAACTGTTATTTAAATTCCTCAGTGATTTCGATTTGTTAATGAGTGTAAGTCCATGTCCAACACATGACAGTTTACACATTTAAATAATTGATGGAAACAAAATTATGATGTAGTCATTCATATGAATCTGTTTATATACTGTACTTATGAAATTATTTAAGGCAAAGCACACCAATTTGAAGGGGGGGGGGGGGGGGGGGGGGGGGGGGGGGGAGAGAACTATCGAAGATGGTGTGTGTGTGAGTGTGTGTTTGTGTTAAACCATTAATATTTTGATCTCAAAATCAATAGGGGTCTTTTAAGGTCATAAAATATTTCACATAGAATTTCATTATAAAAAGCTGATTCCAGTGGAGTTTCTTATTACCTAGCTGGAAAGTTTCTTCAATAAAAGGCAAAACTCTTAAGGCAAAAATAATGGAATCGGAATTTCCTGGTAATATGCACATCTACACACTGTGTACTAAATATCTACAAAGTTTGTCCAAATTCTGTGCAGCGGTTTAAGAGGAGTTGTGCTGACAAACTGTTCATCTCTATATTCAAGATATGGCCAAAAACCTAAGTTGAAAAGTGCTGAAATTCCCAGAAAAAATAATGGAATCAGAATTTCCTGGTAATATGCACATCTACACACTGTGTACTAAATATCTGCAGAGATTGACCAAATTCTGTGCTGGGGTTTAAGAGGAGTTGCGCAGACAAACTGTTCATCTTTATATTCAAGATATGGCCAAAAATCTAAGTTGAAAAGTGCCGAAATTCCCAGAAAATATAAAGGAATCGGAATTTCCTGGTAATATGCACATCTATACATTGTGTGCTAAATATCTGCAAAGTTTGACCAAATTCTATGCAGCGGTTTAATAGGAGTTGTGCTGACAAACTGTTCACCCCTATATTCAAGATATGGCCAAAAACCTAAGTTGAAAAGTGCCGAAATTCCCAGAAAAATAATGGAATCGGAATTTCCTGGTAATATGCACATCTACACACTGTGTACTAAATATCTGCAAAGTTTGACCAAATTCTGTGCAGCGGTTTATGAGAAGTTGCGCTGACAAAAAAACAGGACTGACGGACTGACTGACTGACTGACACACTGACTGACTGACTGACTGACGGACGGGTCAAAAACATTATACCTCACGCAACTTGTTGCGTGGGGTATAATAAGATATAGAATTAAGGATAATTTAGAATATATCACAAAGATTATAGTTGTTGACTCATTTATAGGAATTAATATATCTAACAGTTATGTCTTAAGCGACATGCAGTTCTTGTATATGATATAGGCGTCGGTAGTTCAAAATGGTGGAATATACAATGGAAATAAAACAAAAACAAAGATCGTTTTTCATTGTGATTTTATTTATGAAACGATCATCTTTTTTTCAACCATAGGGTAGATATATATGACTACAACAGGTAAGGCTGATGCATATGACTCTCTGAAATTAGAGTAATAATAATAAACTTTGACGTAATTGGTTACAAAGAGTAATCAATTCAAATGATCCGGGAAAATGGTCCTCGGCACTGAGAAAGTGACCTGGAAAAAAGGGGGTTGTATTTTGTTCCGATGTATTAAGCGCATCCGTAATTTTAAACAATTTTCTGAAGAAAAAAAGTGCGGCCAATACAAGCGACTTTACAGTACTGTGTCAGAAATCGCAGAAAAAAGTAAATTGTATCATACTGACATGGAAATTACATTCCTGAAACATAGGGATTTGCATTTGAAATGAAATTCTTCCGGAGGGAAAACTTATGCAGGGACTATCCTCTGTATACTTATCATCAATAACCTCCCACATGTAAATTACCAAGCTAACAATTTACTATGAACATGAATCAAAAACTGACAAGTATCAGTCATATTGACTGCCCAGAATAACACTATTACACGTAATCAGCTGGGAGAACAATGAATGTACATATACACTAGTTTAATGATCTATTCTTTCCATCAAAAATATCAAAATCTTTGTATCCTAGATAAGCTGAACACTATTCACTCACAGAGTTTTGAAGATTTTGCTGCCTTCAAAGTCATCGAACGCCTGATACTCAATGGACTGTAATTGATTCTGGGAAATGTCTACAGATCTCAGACTGGTCATGTTTGGTAGCTTAGGGAAGAAGATCAGCTGATTGGATGAGATGTCCAGTGTCTGTAAGGCGGTCAAGGAACTGAAGGATAGAGGCTCCACATAACCGATGGAATTTCCACTCAGGTCCCTGTTAGAGATGGAAAATTGAGCTTTTTAATATTTTGGACATAAAATTACATATAGGTTACTCTTGATGGCTCAAACTTCAATCTCTTGATCTCTCAGTGATCTCTGATCCTGATTTTTAGTCCTATATAACTAAGCAAATATATTCTTGATTTCTCACACTCTCAAAACCTTTGACCTCTCCAAATCAAAATGCAGTCCTGTAATGCATATTCTATTGTAATCTACCCTCAATACCTCAAAGTCGTAACAGATATTTGTTGTAATATTCAACTTCTTAATCTGTAGAGACAATATCAAGGAATAAAAGTACAATGTTCCTATTAATGCACACAATATAACAGATAACATTTTAGCACAAGTTTATTCAGTCAAAAGCTTTTGATAGAAATCATCTTAATAGGCATCATTCATGTAGTCTAGACATTGACAAAGTGAATACGAGATAAACATCAACACATCAGGGGCAAATCTCACCTACTTCCAAAAAATCATACTTACAGATTTTGCAGGTAGATCAGTGGAGTAAATACATCTTTGGATATTGAAGTCAAAAGGTTATTGTCGAGGTCAAGGTCAGTAAGTGATGCCTGATTGAGGAAAGTGGAGGACGTGACAGAGGATATCTTGTTGTTGGTCAGGTCACTGTTAGAAATATTTCAACATTTCATCACACCAGAAATACACGGAGTAAAACCAAGTATTACTTTTACACATAAAACATCCAAATGTTAATTCATTCAACAAACTAGTTCATAGCCAGGTTATTTGATTAAAATTTGTGAAAAAGTTAATTAAATACATGTAATATTACAGTATATATTTCATAGAATCTAACAGCTTTACAGAAACATTAAAACTCCAAGGTAAAACTGCATGTCCAAATAATACAATATACTTGTAACTAGAAAGTTAAATTATTAAATTATGCATTTCTAAATAAATACTTAGAATTTACTTAAATTACTTAATGAGTTTAAATAGTTTTTTTTTTTTGGGGGGGGGGGGGGGGGGAAGAGGAGGTCAGAATATTGAGATACTTACACAGTAGTGAGTGTTGCTTTGTTAGACAGAGCATCTGTTGGGTAGTCAGTTATCACATTGTCTTGGAGGTATCTGAAACAGACAGGACCAATATTTTAAACATACAGGTGTATGTCTTTAACAAGTAAATCTCAGCAACAGGTTATTATAGCCTACATAACAATTATTGTAAGACCTAGATCTATACATTAATAAAACCTACACTTTTCTAACTGACAGGTTATCAAATGCATTGATGGGTATTGATGAGATGTTGTTACTGTATAAAAACAAGGAATCCGAGATGACAGAGCTGTTGGCAAAGATGTTTCCTTGAAGTGAGGTCATGCCATTCCCATACAGATGTCTGAAAAAGATCCATTAATAATCTCTTACAAGTCTAACAATCTCTAACAAGTCTAAAAGAGAGCAAAGAAATATGCTATGCAGTCCATTAACTAAATCTAATGGTTTGATAGTCCAGCTGAAATTCAATTTCCTTTGTCTTCTAGCATTTGATTTATTTTCTTCTCAAAGATTCTGATAGACTTTTTTCATTCTTTGGAATAAACCTCCTTATATCTTGAAACAATCAATCAACCACTTTAACATAATATTTACGAGAACATGAATTTCAAAAACTCACAGATCATCACTGATAGAGATGGTGTCAAAGGTCCCTTCTTCAATGTAATCGATTTGATTGTTCTGAAGAAAGATGTCTCTGGCTTGAACATTCACAAAAGAATCCTTTAGGAGGTAGGTCAACTGCATCCCACTGAGGCTCCTGATAAGATAAAAGTCAGAACATATAGTCTGGCTAAAACCAGGAACTGTCAGCGATTTTTTTCTACCCATTGGGAAAGGGTCCGGTACCGGTTCAATTGGGAAAAATAGCATCGAAGTAGAACAAAGAAGAATTTTCTGTCATTAAACAAATGGAACGTTTTTTCCATTTATTCCAACCTAATTACTTATTACTCTGTGTTTTAAAGAAAAAACAACAAGTATTTATTGTTTTTCATATCAATGTCCCTTGTTTCCGCATTTTCATGCTTTCAATTTGTCAAAATGTATGACACTAAGCTGTCTACACCACAGGTCCCACCATATTACGACTTATCTCTACTTTCGATTTAAGTGGAAGTGAAACAATTAGTTAACTTGTGCAACGTTTCATGTAAAAAGAAACACAATGTCATCGTAGTCTGTTGCTTGGTAGTTAAATGGAGAATTTTTAGTCTTGATATTGGGAAAAATTAACGTTTAATATTTTTGGCACTGGGAATGGTACCGTTTATTGGTACCAGTTATAAAAGGAAAAAAAAGCTGACTGTTTACCAGTTTTCATATATCCTGTTTCACCTATGAATCTATTACGATTATTTCTCTATTATCTCCAGATACATGCAGGTATTTGTTTGGTATACTCACAGCTGATCAATGTTTACATCCACAAAGGCTCGAGACTCCAGCTTCTTCAGGACATTTCCTGTCATGGACAGAGATTGGGAAACACTCACTCCCTTAAAACCCTCAGATCCAATGACTGAAATCTCATTATTCTGAAGAGACCTATTAAAAATAAAAGGCTATTTCAATACAATATCTCTTCAGTTGGTTGGGGGGGGGGGGGAGGGGGAATGAGGAGCATCTTGGAAGTTCTAGCTGCAGAACTGTAGCTCTCCGAAAAAAAAAAAATGACGGACCAGAGAGCTACAGTGCCACCCACAGAAAAAACTGTATATTACTGACCGTGTGTTCCTAACACATTTTTTCACTATTCCCACATCAAAACATTTCCTATAACTGTTGTTAATAGCCCTTCTGGGCCTGAAATTGAGACCATCCAAAATTTCGCCTATTAATACTGCCATTTTGGGTGGCTAGACAATTCGGCCAAACGCGCTTCGTAAAGATGTCAACCACAAGAGTAGTTCAGTAGTAGTTGATAGAGGTCTAAGGAATTTTTTGAAATCGAGCTTTTGTGCAGTTGAGGTAAGAATTTTGAGAAATAAATCCAGAACCGAGCGCAACTTTTTGAACACAATAAATATACAGTTTTTTGGCACTGTAGCTCTCCAGTCCATCAATTTTTTTTTTTCGGAGAGCTATAGTTCTGCAGCTACTTGAAGTTCATGATTGACTGATCTAGTACGAAGATCGAAATACAATCAAGATTCAGACAATGTTTTAACTGTAAGAACGTGCAGAGATACAAAGATCCTCATAAAAAAATATTAATGTCTTATTCATTTTACTGTAAAAACTGAAAATTAAAATAAAAAAATCATAGTTCACTAGTTGTCAAAGATTTATAGACAAATATACTTAGTGATACTCAAAAATATCAGCCTTTTATTCTAATTAAACTTTCTACTAGTTTTATTTACATAAATATATTTATATAGAGTATATTTAGGGGAGTATACCTATCAGTTTACACTATTCATTTATCAAGTATACATACAGGTAGGCCACATTCAGATTATTGAAGACTCCTGTGTTGATTTCCGTGATTCGGTTATTCTGGAGCTGGAGGTGTGTGATTGTTTTATCTGAGAAATCTCCCCCTGTTGGTAGTTTCGTCAGCTCATTATTACCCAGGTACCTGTAAATTACGTCAAAAATGCAAAAAGTTAAGATGCCACACAACAAAGGCTGCCTGGAAAAGACTTGAGCCTCTCTGTGTGGTGAGCTAAAAGCTTGATAATGAGCTTTAATATAGAGAAAAACAAATATCGTAACCCAGAAGGCTTATAAAATGGATCCTGAGGTATTAAAATCTTGTCAGATTTTCCTCACCCCAGTGCAACTCAGCTTGGAAATGTATCCAAAAGTTAAATTCGTTTTAATGTATTTCAATCTGTATGCTTATATGAAAATTGATAAATAACGCTTACGTGTAGGTAAAAGAAAATTGAAGTTTTTTTTTTTTAAACTAGAATAACCTTTATGTAGTTACCATTTCATACTGCAGTCAAACCTCGCTATCTCAAACTCAATGGGACCGAGAAAAACTTAAAAAATTTGAGCTATCGAGGGTAAAATACTTAAAGAATAAGTAGCTTGAACCTTCAAATAATTTCAACATATCCATGGTAATCAACATATCGAAATTCAGCTGTGATTGTATCTTATTTTATCATTCTCATTCTTCCATAAACTCTAGTCAAAAAGTGAGTAGCATAAAAATTGGACAATGGTCTGTATTTAGCACATTTCAAAATCAACTACAGTACAAAATACACAAGTGTATACATGTACTTACAAATAGTTCATAGTTGTAAAATTTTTGAAAGTGCCATCCTCAATGTAGGCAATTTCATTGCTCGCTGCTCTAAAATCTGTAAGTACATTGTCCTCAAACATGGTAACCTTTAACCATCCTAGTTTGTTGTTGTTCAGGTACCTGAAGAAAGAAAATAGAAACAAAGCATTCCTGAAAATGCATTTTTTTAAATAATGGTTCATTTGTATTTGATTTCAAAATACATGTATTTGTGACTTCCACATGACTAAATATTGAACATCTTTCATAGATATTAAGGAAAATGTCACACTTAAAGTTGAAGTTAGATATAAAGATGAAAGTGAAATAAGTAAAATGTATTACAGTCAAAACTCAAGAAACCTACAAAAAAACTTCCAGATATCTGATGATTCTACATATTGAGGTTAAATTACATAAAAAACAAGAGATGTTTGTGAAACACTTATAAACCCCCCCCCCCCCCAATAAATGGAATTTTTCTAAGTCCAAGTTGCATAACTCTGTCAAAAATACACCCTGCTTTAGCTGGGGGCCAATAACATAACGTCACAGTGCACAGTTTCTCTATCACAAGCTATCACAATTATGTCACGATGCATTGCAGCATGTAGTTAATCTTATATCCATATTTTGAACTTGACTGATTGCAACAAAGAATTTATTTGGTTACATAGAAAATAAATTTGTTATCCAGGTCAAATCAAGGGTGTATGGGGATTTACCACAGGTTGTATTCCAAACACCCTGAGGCCAAAGGAAATACACCCTTGATTGAATCTAGATAATTAATATCCCTATATATATAGTGCTGAAGGAAATGAGAAACTTACAAAGTTGCTAAAGAGGTACATCCATCAAATGCATCATCTGGGATATAATCAATTTCATTGTTGTTTAATTGGAGATGAACCAGATTTGACATATCTTTAAAAGGGTTCTTGTGGGTAAATCTAAAATCATTTCCATGAAGATATCTGAAAATAAGCATAGTTATTTTTGTATTAATTTGATATAAATATTCCTTATATATACTCAGTAAATCTTAGAATGGACAAACTCTAAAATATTATTAAACACTAGTCTTACATGTATCTCAGAGTTTTGCAAAAGGTATTGTCTTCCACTGCAAGAATCCCATTATACTGAAGTCCTCTGTAAAATGTAATAAAATCTTCAATCTCAATACATTACAAAAGTATTTAGCGAGTTTCAATAATAAAACTAATGACACAATATTTTGCTCTCATGGGAATCATTAAAGCAAGAGAATGGTAACTTGAAAGACAGTTTACTATTGCTTATAGCTAATTCAGCTCTATGCTTAAAAAAACATCTACATGTACTGAATAAATTACACAAACAGGATGACAATTGGTTTTATAGCTGGCCTAGTAATTTATTCTTGCTCAATGATGAGAAAATTATTTTCAACACTTTCATGAAGATGGCTTACAGAACAGTAAGGTTGGCGTTAGTGAAGGTGTCCGCCTCCAGGAAAGTGATGTCATTGGATCCCAGATACAGCTGTCTGAGACTGGTCAAGTTGGCAGAGCTTCTAACAGTCTGGGGGACATACTTAAAACTATTAGATGATAGCTCCCTGTAAAAAAAAAAGTTAAATAACTGAATACTGCTAACCAACTATTTACTCGCAATTTGTCCGATTGAATACCATCTGCAGCTATAATTTTTAGCAATTGAAGAATATTCTATGAAAACAATTAAACAAATAATCCGCAGTGAGAAATATTTGTAGGTAAAAGAAAGTTGCATCTCATGGATATTTCTCACATGCAAATAAAAATTGGTTCTGAGTATAAATTGATTGCATGGCAATTCATCACTTTGTAGTAAAAATCCTATACATAAACATGTACTTTCACTTGAATGGTAAAGTTAAAATCCTATACAGTAAAACATGCTTATAGCGAACATGCTTCTAATGAATTGATGCTTACAGCGAAGTGATTTTCATTCCCCGTGGCTTTAAAATTTATTGTGAACTTAACGGTTATAGTGAATTATGCTTATAACGAAGCAAAATCCTCAGTCCCTGGCAATTTTTTTCAATCGTGTTTTACTGTACATACATGTACTTTCACTTGAATGGTAAAATATAAGAAAATTGTACACACAGGTAAAACAGTTTGGACAGACAGTCCAGCGCATCATTAGGGAACTTCTCATCTGTAAGGAGATTACTGTCCAGGTACAGATAGGTCAGACTAATCAGGACACAGAAGTAGTCCGACTTCACCTCAGCAATCTTGTTAGCGGATAACTCACTGTAAAGACAAAATAAAAAAAATGTCATACAATAATTATGAAAAGGAATTTTGTAGAAGTTAGAAAGGATATTATTCTCTTAGATAACAATAAAACACTGTAGGTGACAAAAAGGCAAGACCCAAAGAAGAAAAACCTTTTACAAATTGAGCATCATATCACACTAAAAGATACTGGCACTTTATCAAGAAATAAATGATAATACTTTTTAGAAAAAGAGATCTAATTAAAAGCTAAAAATTGGTTTGCCAAAAAAAAAAAAACACTATCTTTTTATATAAGTATCTTTTCACAGATACATATTATCAGCTACACATAGAATACCAAAGAATGTATGTAACTCTGCCCCTCCAGTTAATTCAAACTGAAGCTGATTGAATGTCAGACTAAGGCCAAAAAAAATTAATAAATAGTTTCTCAGGCACGGCCGCATCAGGTCAAAAACGGCCGCATTGATCAATTTTATTGACATTTTGGAAAGGGAAATAACTCAATTTTCTATTTTTCCAAGTTGAAAAAAAGAAAATTGAGTTATTTCCCTTTTCATAACAATAATAGATAGACGTTTTTATTAGATAAACAATATTCTTCTAGTCTATACAGTCCTTTATAAATTAACTTTTAAAGAAATGTTTAGTCTAGAATAGCATAATTTAAAGTTGAGTACATTATAATTAGTATATTAATAGAACAAAAAAGTGAGGATCAGTTAATATCATTTTGTTGAAAGACTGACATGAAAAAAAAGATACCTGCTTTAAAAAAAAAAAAAAAAAAAAAAAAAACCTGCCTGCCGCATTGAATTTTGAAATTTTTGGCCTGAGAAACTATTAAATAATTTTTTATGGCCTAATTTTTTGCTTCTCTAAATGTGCCCTTTCATTCAAGCTTTACCTGATAAACAACTTACAGTTTCTCAATATTTGGCGATTTGGTCCATACTTTGAAGGCTCCTGACTTGGCATTAAAGGTTGAGGTCATGCTCAGACTAAATGCATCTAGGGTGTACTCTATAGGGTTGGTGATTTGGTTAGTGTCTGCATACCTGGAAGGAAATTCAAAACTCAAACACATCTGACATTTAGCATTCTTTTTTTTTCTTGAACTTTTTCTCTTAAAGATGAAAACAAAAAAATTATCGAACATTTCAAATACTGTTTGTTGCACGTTTAAAATCACAAATATAGATCAACTGCTTCTCAATCATTGCTTTTTAAATGAGCAGAATATCACTAGTTCAAATATATGATTATTTTTTTTTTATGTGCACACTACATAAAATATCAATCAACAGATATCTTAATTGTTGGTTACAATTTAATACTTACACTTCCTTCAGAGAGGTGTAAGTTTGCTCAGACAAAACTTGGTGAGGAAAACTTGTTAAGGCATTGTCACTGACCCACCTACAATAATAAAACAAAACCAAATCTGTATTCCTTCAGGAGCAGTCTAGCTATCCTAGCAGGACACTAGCAAAAGTCATGTGTAAAACACTAGATAGCATTGAATTAGTACATTTTTAGAATCCTTCTTACTTCATATGCCAAAAAATTACAAATGAACCATCAGATACCCACAGCTGATCTCGTCTTTAAAAGCTGATCTTGTCTTAAAGACAAGATCACCCATGTGTATCCGAAGATGCAAATGGACTTTATTCTATTTGACCATTACATCAATATTTTAAGCTCTTTACAGGACTATTTTTAAATTCCCTTTGGTCTTGAAAATGACCAGCCCAAGTAAGAATCATCATTAGTTTTGTTAGAACATGCTTTACTAATATAGATCAATTTGACAGACAGATGGGTGCAATATAAGACAAATATGGTGTTTCTTTTTAGCTGGGAAGTAGACATGTACAATATTTAAAAAAAAAAAAGCAACACTTAAAAGAGTCAGTGAGCTAAAAGATGTTCACTGCTTTGACACACTGAAGTGAGCAACATTTTTTATCAAATGACACACAGTAGTACAAAAATTTAAATTCTGTAGTCCAGCTAACTAAACAAGGAACAGAATTAGGACATTTGTAAGAAGTAACACATACAGATTGGTCAGGTTGTCGTTGATGTTCTCAAAGGCATCAAAGTAGATGTTGGTCATCTTCGTTTTCTGGGAGTGAAGTCTCAGTGTCCTAAGAGTGGGCATGTTTGTGAAGTATTTACTCTTTAAGATCTGTAGGTTGTTTCTCACTAAATCCCTGTCAAGAGTAAAACAAACTGGATATTGTACAAGATTTTATGCCTTTTGTTTTCCATTTCCATTTCATTTTTGCGATTGTAAAGGGGTGATACTTTGTACTTACAAGTGCAACAAATTAGGTATGTTTCCAAATACACCTTCTGCCACCGTGGCCAAGTCATTATCATGCAACTCTCTAACAATAAAAAGCGAGGGGAAAACATTAATTTCTGAATTTAAGCAAGTTTCCCAAAATTGATCACTTTAGCTATCAATACTTTTTGCTACTGAATATATTATTGTAAGGACAGTCCAATTACATGATACTCACAGAATGAGCAGTTTCTGTAACTGAGAGAAAGACCCTGGTTGTATGTAATTGATCTGGTTGTTACTAAGATTTCTGCAAAAAAATTTGTAAACCCTTGCATTAATACATAATTATATTAGAAATAAATTTTGGCAACAAATAAATCTTAAAGTGGGCTAAAAGAATGCAAGAAAATAATATGCAAGTTGTACAATTAAGGAATGTTTTTAAGTTTTGTGTGAATTATTGGTGTGTAAATCACACAGACTTGTCACATAGGCATATTTCATGAAGCACTTCTTGAGAAATATGCCTAAGTGCAAGTCTGTGTGATTTACACACCAATAATTCACACTAAACTAAAAACATTCCTTATATCTACATTTTATATGTTTAAAAGCACCAAAAATATATTCAGTTTTTGAATCATTTGCTGCCCTATACCTTACATTATTTATTAACGTACGTCTCTAGCTGTAGCTCTTTGTGACATCACCTTAGTTTCTCCATGCATATTTCTACGCATGAGTATACATGAAAATGGCATTCAAATCAATTTTACAGTTGGCTTAGTAGAAAAACATAGCAAATGTAAATATTGTATTTTTAATGACAATATGGAAAAAAACAACTTACAGGTGTTTTAAATCAGAGTTGACCAAATATGCCAGGTGGGCTTTGGATACTGTTTGAATCTGGTTATCATCTACACTCCTAAAAATACACAAAGATTCCATGTATTTTTTTTTTAAAGCAACTCTAATCAAGTTATTGAACTGTAACTTCTTCACAGTAAGCTGTTTATTTATGAATGGGAGGACTTGAGACCTATCAAACTTTTTGGTACAAAGCTTCAGGTAAAATTGAAACTTACAGAAACTGTACTTTGTTTGCATTTTGGAGGGCTTTTCCAGGAAAATATCGAATGCTATTTCTGCTAAGACCACTGTAATGAAAAAAATAGAAATTACAACTATTTGAAAACATATTTCATTGATATTATACAGGATTTCAAAAAATGTTTTCTTAACTTTTCTCCATTGGCAGCAACTTACATGTATTCCAAATTACTTCCAGAAAACAGATTGTCTGGAACCCATTCAATGTCATTTTTGATGAGCGTTCTGTAGATATAATTTGAAATGTATAACAAAATGCCATAAAATAGTTTCTAACTGAAACATAATAGATAAACCTATATCTGATTCAGTGAAAAAAAACCCAACAAATGTAAACATAGAGAAACAGAAAACTATCCAAATTTAGAAAAAGACTATTATACACTTCTAAGCTTATGACCTTGTCCATATTACCCTGGGTTAAGGTTAAGATGTAACCTTAAGTCACAAGCAACCTTTGTTGCAAGTGTAAGCATTTAAAATTTCTCCATTTCAAAGTTGTGGGTAGAACAAACAATAATTCAATACTTTTGTACCCTGTGTCCCTACTCTCTTCCAAATAACCTTTGTATAAGGCCAAAGTTTTTATTTTTTTTGGTTTACGATTTTCTGTCTCCAAAAAATGCATTGGGTGGTCGAAAAATAAAAATAAAAATAATTTAGGATTCAACAATTTCATTTTAAAATACCAGCAATGTTTATTTTATTGAAAATAATACACGTCAATAGTACTTTTAAGTTTTATTGTCTAGATCACATAACTCTTTTTATTTAATTTTAATTCATTTCTAACTTTAGACTGAATGTCATTTTCATTTAGTTCTGATTTTTGTTTATCAATCAGTGCTTGGTTCATGATGTTCAAATTCTTTTTGTGCTCTTCAGTGATATGTGATGTGTTATAAACCTCAGTATCCCCACAAACTAAAAATAAGGATCCAAATTTAAGTTAAATTTAGATTGAAGAAAAATACAATTTAATTGTTTAACAATATTGAAAGTAATTAACGTTGAAATAAAAGTTATAATAATTTGATAATGCAGCTATCAAATTTAATGTTCCAATAATTTCTCAATCAAGTCCTTCTTTAAATTTTGTCATGTACCTGCACAGTAGGCAATGCTCATTATTTACTTTATAGTAATTCAGAGGGCTCTGATCTCAATTGAGTATCAAATTTGCAAAGATTTGTATATTAAAATTACTTCTATAAATTAACAAAATGTTTTATACACATTTGAATTTATCCAGTGAAATACCAGTCAGCTTTACTTCAACTAAGATGTATCTCTCAACACTAAATTGGCTTCACTATTATCCATGGATTTATCAGCCTATGATTTTGGGAAACACCATTTTTGGGGAATTGGGAAAAAATTATCGGCTATTTGATGAAATTGGAAAATTTTTTAAAATGTTGCTTAAATCATGTATTCAGGGGTAATTCATTTAACATTTCAGCATGAACTCTAATTTGGGCAACCAAACGACAATTAAATATGATCCATCTTCATCATACAATGATACAAGATCAATTATGAATAATAGACTAATAAAGGTAAAATGGACTTCAATGAGTATAAAGTATTTTTACAAATTAGGGTAGTACATGTACATGTGTGTATGAGATTTCAATTTAAGTCATTATAGTATCTGTTTCTGGAGATTATAAACCTCCTGCAAAAATTATACTAAGTACACATTTTCTAAAAGTCCTCTTCACCTGCAGATCAATAGAGTAGGTGGAAATAACTTAATAAATCTATATAATTACACAATATCATCATTTTTAGAAAAACGGAGGAAATTCGGATTAAAAGTTGGCGATGTTTTTTCAGTGTTTTTAAACATGTGTTATGACTGTAGCTTTGCTAAATGAGTCAAATAGATGAAAATTACAGACAATCTGACAATTTTACTTTTTTCCAAAGATAATTAAAAATAAAAGCATTGTTCACCAATTGGGAAAAAAATACTGCCAAATTGGAAAAAACTGAACTCATTTTCAATTGGGAATGAGGCCGAATTTCGGCCCATGAGAAGGCACTGATAAATCCCTGTTATCTATAGGTGTATCCGTGTCTGCTAGGTCGATCAGGGTTGGGCATACACTCTCCAATATTACAGTATGAATTTAGCCAATTGAGACATCGCAATTAGAGAAAGGGATCATGCATCCAAGATTTTATTCACTTTTCCATGCAGAAAAAGTCCTTTAAGTGTGTGTCATTGCTTTCAGTGAGGAATTACCTTGTTACATGACAGAACCGCCATTTTTGGTTTGCACATGTGTTTATTTACGGTCACCTAAATGTTTGTAAAGGGCTCATATATTTATAAGCGCTTATTTGACTAAGATGCATTCTAAAGTTTAAAACCCACCAGTTCAGCTGAGAAAAATCCGGAAAAATATTTCGGAAAAAGACATTATTTTTATTTTCATGATTGGTGAAAATTAGGGTCGGCGGAATCGTAAACCAATTGAAAAAAAAACTTTGGCCTAAGGTCAATTTAAGTCACACCTCTGGTAACAACCTTATTTTTGTATCAAGTAAGAATTTCCAGATTTTTTTTTTGGTTTCAGATACATGTATGCGGACAAGAATTTACTCTTCTTTAATATTCCTACTTCTTTAAAATTTTGACAAATCAATTGACCTGAAAATACCATACCAAATCAATTGATCCGAAATATGCAATTGCATATTTCAAATAGATCTATTTCTACAAACTTTGAAACAAACATATGCAATAGCTTTGAAGAAAATATATGCAAAAAAATATTTTGTCATCAGGACAGAAAGACAGCCAAACATGGTGACCCATATAACCCCTAAACTTTATTGTAGATGGTATGAAAGATTTCATTCTGCATACATCATAGTTAAACTTGATGGCCACGTTGGATTGGTGTGGTTGTGAGGGAAAAACTTGATCTTGTTATCACAGAGCATCCTGTCAAAAAAAAAAAACAATAACAGAAAATAAAACTGAGACTATAACAATTGTTATAGGAAAACCACCAAGGGCACAAAAAAGTGCATGTCAGGTTTGAACAGACAGTTTTTGTTTATCTTTCTTTTATCATGCATTATGACTTAGATATCATAATTACCAAAAAAAAAAACACATTTTAAGGGAGATAACTTTGGTTTCTATTTAAAAGAAGCATATTTTCTTTTATTATACTTGCATGAATTTACTTTCTCCTAATAAAATTATACATACATTCTTTGCATGCTGGTTGTAGAAATATCTGGGAACTGCACTAGACTGGTTTTATAGATGGTCCTACAAACAGCAATAGAATCGTGCTTGTTTCAGTATACTACTATACAGTTAATGATCTTCTGGGAGTACTGGCAAATTATTGAATTAAAAGTTTCTAATCTTTTGGCTGGTGAACTTTTTTTAACAGTTTCCAATGTTCTGTTTCATAAAACTTGCAACAGTTACATGTATAAACATATGGTTTAGGAAATTAAATATATATAGTAATAAGCTGTATTAATGCAATAATCTATATCTCTTACAATTCTTGCAGATTGGTCAGATGAACAAATGTGGCATTGTCAAAGTACTTGAAAGACATGGCATTTATGATGGTTCTAAAATGAGAGCAAAATTTAATGTTTATATAATGATATAATCACTTCAAAGCCAAGTGACATACAAAGGTGGAACCAATTTATCTACAAAAATATTCCAGCTTTCATTTGTATGTAATCAAATAAATATTTGTATTATGTAAGCATCTCTTAACTAAATGTTCATCAGTTCTGTGAAGCATCAATATTTCAAAATACGTCGTACTACAAAACTCAGTAGATACTGTTTATTTGCAGAACCCTCTGCACTAATGCAGGAATTTGTGCGACTCTGACAAATGAGACTTGAACTTCTGTTACTGTTCATTGATACTCACATTTTTGTTACAGATGAAGTGAATGAATTCACAGTCAGGTTATCAAAGGTGTACCCCTTTATAACACTGAAAAAATAAACACATTCTGTATTAACAAAGTTAATTATAATCAAATCTGAGTTCCAAATGTGTTTATCTAATACCTATCTGGTATATGTTCAAAACATGATTGAAATTTATTAATCTCCATACAAGTAGCATGAATAAATCTTTGAGTTACAGTAGACCAACAATTTCTAATGTGCAAGAGATGTCTACACATTCTGCAAATGTCCTTGATTGTTGTAGATCACCAAATTTTGGCAAAACCTTCTTTTCATGAGAGAGTTATTTGGTATTTATAAGCGAGACAAAATTTTCACAACTTTTGATTATTGTCTATATAATCTTTTTAATGCAAATATATGAGAATGAAAATTTTCACAACCAGGTCTCATTGTAATTATGCTAAAAATTAATGTTCTCACGAATAAAAAGTGATTCATAGTATATACTTGCTGGTGCATCTTGTCCCTATGTACTTGCATACATTGTTGATTAATTAATATTTATATTTCTATTTGTTTTCTCTGTGATAACTCTTTGAAAGTTAGGAGAGTTGATTTCTACCGGAATGCAAATTTCGCCAAGCGAAAGGTCAGGAGCTAAGAAGGCCTAATATGCATGTAATTCTCGTGCGGCTGTCTTTGTTTCTGACTCTAAGGAGGCCTAATATGCATGTAATTCTCGTGTGGCTGTCTTTGTGTTTGACGTCAGTGGGCAGGGACTATTGATATTGACATGTGAGGCCTCGTGTAATTTAAATCTATTAGTCTACATTTTTTAAAATCTAAATTTACAATTTTATTTCACAATGAAATGGAAATATAAGGAATCACTGTCTAGTTAGTAGAGTATGCCAGGGACATCAACGATAGTTGGAAACGTGGGATAATTAATGCATAACGGGCTTCGCCCGTTATGCAAATTATCCCACGTTTCCAACTATCGTTGATGCCCTGGCATACTCTACTAACTAGACAGTGATTCCTTAAATACATGCTACATTTTTTGTTTAGTAGAATTCTCAATGACAATTTTAAACAAGTTAAAGAAATAAATATTGGATTACTAAACAGTGTATAGCACTTAATTTGTTTGCAACATCAGAACTTACACTGTGGGACCACTACATCCTGTCACGATTCGCTTCGTCTCGTCACAGTTACACCCCCCACTACACTGCCTCCCCGAGTCAGACCCCGTCGACAGGAAGTAATGGTCTATCACACCTGGACTGTCACTCCACAGTCCCTCAAAGGAGTTTGTAGCTAGAAAACAAATACAAAAATGCCGAAATTTATGTGTATATAGCTCAATATTATTATATCCTCATTTCAGTTCCTCTGGACTTACATATATAGGGTAGTGAAAATTAAAAATCTGTGCAGACTTCTTCCTTTATATCAAATGAAAATTAGGAACAGCAAGATGAAATATTTTTATAACACATTATAGATTTTTTTTTTACTTAAGGACATACGCAACATAGTTTGAACTTTATTGTCTTTTCCCCTGGAGTTGAAGAGTTCCAATACTTGAAGGAACTGTGTGCTACATTTTTATGTCTATATATATATGCTGTTGTACACCTCTTCTAAAACAAGTTTGGATAAACAAAACACCTAGAATATATGTTTAGTAATTTTTGTGTATTTTTCTCTGAATTAATATACATGAATTTTCATCAACTGATATCTTTTCAAAACCCCTGGTAATGCATGCTGATTTTTTGTCTACGAGCATCTGATGGCACTATAATCTTAAATTAAGAATATCTTGAAAAATTATCAGTAGGTAACAGATTTATGTTATTACACATTGGATCTTATTAAAACCCAAGTAACACTTCGAAAAAAAAAAATTCATACTTGAAAATGTACAGACAGATCGAGGCATGCCAGAAACTTTACTATTTATGGTCATGCAATACACATTTGTGGAATTGTTTGCATTGACAGCCAAAATCAAAATCGAAGTTGTCTTTTTAATCATCTAATAAAATGGATATAAATTAGACACTTGATCACATAAAAGTGCCAAGTTAGTTGTACAATTTTATTAGTTCTCAAGATCTTTAAATAAAATCTACATATGCATGTACACATGGTATATGAATACTTGTCAATTAATACTTTTTTGATTAGACAAGGTCCCAAAAGGTCCATACATTTTTAAATCACAGGAGCAAATTACATCATAATTCGGTAATAGATCAATCATTACATATCATATATCCAACATCTGACCCATCCTACATCCATTAATGAATATGTTTTTGTTTAAAATTTAATCAACAACCTTTTATGGTGTTTAAACATGTTTATACCAACACACAGTGCTGTTGATTTAAGATCATCTTTGTGACAAAATCAATAAAACTTTATGTGTTGCATCCAATTATCACAACAAACTGACATTACCCTTTTTTCTCACACCTCAGTAGGATTTAATCTTTGATAAGAAACACAAGGTTCCCAGAGTAATTAAATATTTATTGCACTAGATACAGTGTCAGGAAAATTACTTTCCAAACTAGTTTTAAATTAAATGTACATATCTCTTACCAAAAACAAACTATTATCTCCTTATTTTCCCCCCAAAACCTGATATTAAGAGCAAACCTGAATCTGCACTACCTGCAGGGGATGCTTGCATATTAATATCACTAATAATCATGGTCCTGTTGATCTTGAGAAAAAGATTTTTAAACTATTAAACTTTCCTATTTATTCCTATTAAAACTTTGATCCTCTCGGGGCCCCACCCTACCCCCACCTGATTTGAACAAACTTGAAAGTGCAGAAAGTACACTACCCAGGGATGCTTGCATATCACAATCATTGTCCTAGCTGCTGTACTTGAGAAGAAGAATTTTAAAGAAATTTCCTATACACTTTGAAGATATGTAAAGTTAGCTACTAGTAACTGGCTACGACAAGTCGGTAAAGTTAGCTACTAGTAACCGGCTACTAGTAACTGACTTAAAATGAGAATAAAGCTAGCTACTAGTAACTAGCTACGACAAGTGGGTAAAGCTAGCTACTAGTAACTGGCTAAAACATGTCAATAAAGCTAGCTTCTAGTAGCTGGCTACTAGAAACTGAATTTAAATGTAGTTCTAGTATCTGGTTACATTACAAATATTAATTTAAAGGAAAAAAAATAATGTATTGAATGCCTTTAAAAAAAAATAAATAAGAATCTTGTAATTTTGTTTCGCTAGTCAAAATATCTTATATTAAAATATGCTACTTTTGATCTATACTTGCAGTTTAATACTATTGTTGCGTATGCATTTTCAGTTAGTCATATCTTAGAAAAATCGTAAGTGTTCAATTTCTTTTATATATTACAAAGACCTAACTTCCGTCAGAACAGCCTTCTACTTCTTTTTTTGATTTCACAAACTTTAATTATTTTGTCACAAGTTGTTTAAAAAGTTTATTGATCAAAATAAAATTATATTCTGATCAAAACATATAAAATTTAGTATAACATAGTCAATAAATACAATGGATTTAAAAACGTAAATTTGTTTAGTACAGTTTCATAATATACATAAATGTGCTTTGCAGAGTAAATTTGTACATAAAGTTAACATCCCCCAAGCAGGTAGATATTTAGACAGCAGATATATATACTGATACAGCTGATAAAAAAATTCTTCAAAGTTCTCAACATGACATATTACTAATGATTTATATTTATCTTTTAATATCTCTTCAGCTGCTAGAGAATTTTTGTGAGACATACGTAAAGTTTGCGATACAAATATTAACATCATTGAAGTAACTTCACATTTCACAAAACGCACTAGTAGCTGAAGATATCACTACAGATATCTTGGCAACTTCAGTGCAAGATCATGTGGAGAACCAAACAGGAAGTTTATATCAACAATATAAGATATTAGATATTAGCTAAATAAGAATCCTGTTACTTCAATGATATCAACATTTGTATCCCAAACTTGCATTATATTACATAAAAAGTACGAGTAGCTGAGTATATCACTACAGATATCTTCGTGACTTCAGTGCCAGATCATCGGACGGAATAGATGTCTTCGAAATTTATAAAAGAAACGGCACACTAACAGTTTTTCTAAGATATGACTAATGCAAAATGCATACGCAATGATAGTATTAAACTGCAAGTAGAGATTAAAAGTAGCATATTTTAATATAAGATTATTTGACTAGCGAAAAAATTTTTTTTTAAATGCATTCAATACATTACTTTCATTTTCTTCAAATTAATATTTGTAATTTTAAGCCAGTTACTAGAAGCTACGTACCTTTACTCACATTGCAAGCCAGTTACTAGTAGCTAGCTTTACTCACATGTCGTAGCCAGTTAATAATAGCTAGCTTCATTCACATTTTAAGTCAGATACATGTACTAGTAGCCAGTTACTAGTAGCTAACTTTACCCACTTATCGTAGCCAATTACTAGTAGCTAACTTTACCAACTTGTCGTAACTAGCTACTAGTAGCCAGTTACTAGTAGCATACTAGTAGCCAGTTACTAGTAGCCAACTTTACCCACTTGTCGTAGCCAGCTACTAGTAGCCAGTTACTAGTAGCTAGCTTTACTCACATGTCGTAGCCAGTTAATAATAGCTAGCTTCATTCACATTTTAAGTCAGATACATGTACTAGTAGCCAGTTACTAGTAGCTAACTTTACCCACTTATCGTAGCCAATTACTAGTAGCTAACTTTACCAACTTGTCGTAACTAGCTACTAGTAGCCAGTTACTAGTAGCATACTAGTAGCCAGTTACTAGTAGCCAACTTTACCCACTTGTCATAGCCAGCTACTAGTAGCCAGTTACTAGTAGCTAACTTTACATATCTACACTTTGATCCCTTTTTGGGGTCCCAACCTACCCATGGGGCCATGATTTGAGCAAACTTGAATCTACAAGTACACTACATCAGGAGTTTCATTAATTTTTTTTTTTTTTGGCCCAGTGGTTCTTGAGAAGAATTAAGATTTCTTGACACCTATAGCTACCCTATAATTTGCCTTTCCTTAATTCTTTCCCCTTTTCAGAGGCTCTTATTCTTTATAATATGAACAAATTTGAATCCCCTGCACTCTAAGGTACTTTGGCACAAGCTTGGTTGAAATTGGCCCATTGGTTATACAGAAGATAATGACATTGTGAAAAGTTTATGACATTGACGACGGACAAGGGACAAATTTTGATCAGAACAACAACAGACAAGGGACAAAATTTTGATCAGAAAACCTCACACTAGCCTGTGTTTCAGGTGAGCTTATAATGACATTATACCCCAAAAATATTGGAATAAATTTATATCAGTGGTGCATGGACATAAATTCAATTCAATTCAGTTTACTGACATCACCAAGTTGGCATACTGTCAAAATAAGAAATCAAATGACAGATAACAGAAAAAAAGAGCAGAATATCATAACATAATTGCATGCAATTCAATTTTACACAGTTCCTTATAGACCTTGGCATTGTTTCCTCTGCATAAAGCATTTATCTAAGTAGATACATAAACGTTTTGTAGTACAAATGTATTATATTCACATGGGTTAACAATTTCTTTAATGGGATTAAATTTATTACTTTGTGAAGATTTGCCATGATTTTTACTTCTCACTAGACACAGACATACAGATACATCATACAAGCCCAAACTGCTATACATCTCAACTCTAAATCTGTAGAAATTGTATCTCAAGCAGAATGTAAAGTTTGTTCAGTTCTGTAATAGTTCTCGGGTAAGGCGCATTCAAATTCTATTTAAAACATTAACATGAAAAATTTAGGTCCTGCAGTCTGACCTCTTTCTCATAAATCTTCTCATGAAAGTATAGACTTTGATCTCTGCATAAACAGTAAATGATATTGCTTTATTTTGCAAGCACTTTCTTTTTTTTCTTTTTCTTTTTTTTTTTTTTTTTTTTACAAGTTTTGCATTTTTTTTTGGGGGGGGGGGGGGGCAAGAAATTGTCTCTGCATTAAAAGATTCTGTGAATTAAAAAAAAAATAATTCATTACTCATCATATGAAGGATTGCAAAAATTAAATAAATTTATACATGATTTATGTTAATGTTGCTTTGTTTAGTAAAAATAAAGATATACACAAAACATTAGGGATATTCAGTTAATTTTGAGTATATGTCTGATAATAAATCTGTGGTGTGTTTCCATGTTGATGTTAAAAAGCCCTAAGTTAATAAGTAAATTCTTTTCTATAATATTGGCCCTTGTATGAATCTGCAAACTATAACTGTCAACATGTTTGTATACAGACAGATTTGACTTTCTTTCATAATACAAAGTAAACGATCTGTTAATATTTATTAGATAATTGGTAAACAAACATACCTATGCAAATTTGCTTGCTCAGGATCTGACCAAAGGAAAAATTCAAAGCAAACATTTGACAACTGTACAGTTAATCGTTATGTTAAAATAGAAAATTTGCCTATTGCTCTGCCCTGTATACTGGATTTTTCACACTCCAACATCAATAGTAAATCAAAGACACAAGGCCCTTGAGACACAATGCTCACCTGAGTGGCAACCATCTAGATAAATGAAATGTCTCATTATTGACATGAAGACCATGATTTCAACAATTATGAAGTGCACCCTCAAGGTAAGACAGGCCAGTCAGGAACTATTAGAATGTACTTCAGCCCATGGCAGTCATGTGAGCTAACATTACTTTGCTGTCTCATGAGAAAGCTAGAGAGCAATGAAATATTTGATAATATGATATACAGTCAAACCTCATTATCTTGAATTCAATGGGACTGAGAGAAATTTTTGAGATATCTGAAGATTCAAGATATTGAGGTTAAAATACATAATTAAAGTAAAGGTTGTTCGGATATCAAACTTTGACTTATCCATGGTACTCGAGATATCCATGTTTGAGATAACAAAGTTCAACTTGTGTGCTTAACTTGCATTTTATAATAGATATTTATGTCTTCTGTTGATATGTAACAAGTATGTTTTATGAGTATAACAGACGCTTTTATGTTTTTGTCAGCTTAGGCTCATGTTTCTGTTGTACATGTCTGAAAATAGTCTGACTCTAAATAAAAGTCACTTACTTACTAGTCTAATTTTTATTAGACCTGTAATCTGTTTACTTACTGGCATAGTTGATGCCTAGAGTACCATATCTATCATTCCAGTAGGTAGCCCCCATCCATGTCCCCTCAACTGCACCAACCAACAGGATGAGGGACAGGTAACCATAGGATACCATCTCCTTGGTAACAACTGTCTGTTGTAGTTACATGAACTGAAAATAATTTGACAAGTTTTTTTTTTTTATTTCAATCCTGTCATCAATTCAATTAGAGACAAAATTTTATGCAATTTACAAGTAGCATGTGAACATGCTGCAGCATAAAGTCCCAAATATTGAAACCAAAGAAAAAGGTTGCATGGTTTAGGAAGCCTTTTTAATGACCTGCAGTTAGTATTGTAAAAGTTCACAGTAACCCCCCCCCCCTTTTTTTTATATGTTATAGCTAAACAAACGGGTATGGGAAGGTTTTTAATTTTTGCTCAAATTTGTAATTTTCCACATGCAATTTTTTTCTAATTTAAAGGTACTCTGCTTCTGGAAACATCAAGTACAAGCTACATCATGCATCTACCACATTTTTCCTTTTTTTATACACTGCTCACCTGAAAACATATTATAAATACCATCAAGGATAGATTTACTTTTAATCTATGGTTTCCAAAGCAAAGGTATTTATTAAAATTCACCATTTTGTGGTCTTTGACTCTATAGATATCAATGCTGCAAATCAAACTCATTACAGTAAAACATGCTCATAGCCAAGTGCCACATACAGACAAATTTACTTCATTATAAACTTTTAATTCTTTATAACCGTTCAATTCACAATATATTTTAAAACCATGGGGAAGGAAAACAGCTTCACTGTAAGATTGAATTCATTATAAGCATGTTTGTTGTATAAGCATTCTTTACTGTACTGAAAATTTGGCATTTTCTACACCTTGTCCTTTGATCATGTCATATCACAGAAGATTGTACCTATTTTTTGCTCCTTATATATAAGCTTCTTATGCTGAATTATGATATGCAAGTTAATTGCAAAATTCATCATTTGAAATCTTGCAATAAGCAAATACTGGCAAATGAAACCAGAAATCTCTGACAAGACCGTAGGTCTACTGGTTTGTACTTATCAAAAATGAGGAGAAAAGCAGCACTTGGACTTTAAACCTTGCAACAGCAATAAATAAAGTAATGATCCTTGGTTTAGTCTCTTTTTGTGAAAAGATTTATTGCATTCAGACTCAAACTGTAGGAGGAGTAGCCTTTTAAAAGAATTTTATAGAAATTTTGATTTTAGTAACCATGGCAACATCATTCATCTAAATCAAACACTGGTGCATAGAATCATGTACCTCAGTGTAATCTACTTGTGTGCCAAGTTATATTGAAATCAAACCAAAACTGTAGAAGGAGTGTTTTGAAATTATTTCACAGAAATTCCTATTTTGAATAACATGGCAACACAGTTTATGGAAATCAAAATCTGATAAAGAGAATTATGTATTTCAGTGTAATCTACTTGTGTGCCAAGTTATATTGAAAACACACCAAAACTGTATGAGTAGCACCACTTCGAATGTATTTCACAGAAATTTTTATTTTTTAGTAACCATGGCAACATCTTTCATCAAAATCAAAAACTGATATGAAGAATTATGTATCTAAGTGTAGTCTTATATTTGTATCTCAAGTATTAATATTGAAGTTAGACCAAAACTGTAGGAGTAGCATTTTGAAAGTATATTTCACATATAATTTCTATTTTTAGTAACATGGCAACACTGTTCATCAAAATCAAATAAGAGGCCCGTGGGCCACAATGCTCACCTGAGTAAATTTGGCCCTGCTGTTCTTCACCAGATTTTCCCATTGTAATAGGTATTGTGGCCCCACCCTATCCCCGGGGGTCAAGATTTGAATAATTTAGAATCTTCACTACTCCAGGATGCTTCCTTGTAAGTTTCAGCTTTTCTTGCAGACTGGTTCTTGAGAAAAAGATTTTTAAAGATTTTTCCTATATATTTCAATGTAAAACTTTGATTCCCCATTGTGGTCCCACCCTATCCCCGGGGTAAGGGTGCAACGATAAACCGTTTGACGGTATATCGCGGTATATTTTTCCACGGTTCAATTCACGATACGCTAAACTGATATCGCGGTTCGGTTCAATCGGTCCAGAATTATCCGAATCGTCCGTTTTGTTTCCTTTTTTACAATTTCAAAATGGCTTCCGCGCAAAATGTGAGGTCGCCGATAACGCCTTAACGGAAGTTAAACTCATCTCCAGCATCTTACAGACCTCAGATTTAACACGGAGAAGGACTTAATGTGATTATAAGTTATAGATGTTAAGACAAATGATAAACCCTTTAGATCTAAACGTATTCTTTGGTAATACATGATATGTCATCACCTGTGTATTTCGATGAAAATTCACTGTCTTGTTGACTAAAACATGTTAACATGAGAAATATGACAACTGGTTTTCTACGGAAATAAAATGAATAAAAGAATGAATGTCTTCCTTTTTCATTCCAATTTAAAAGGAAGATTATTAGGAAAGGTCCCCGTAGTTCCCTGTAAATGTTCATCATTGGTTTAGAAAATTGTCAAAACTCAAAGATCTACCTAACAATCCAATTCAAGTTAACAAAATTTTATTTTAACTATTATTAAAATTTATGAACATTTTATATAACCCTGTCAAGGTTTAAAAAAAATATGATACAAACTTGAAAGACTTTTTAACCTTGTCATGTATTCTGATACGTATCATATCGTGAACTGAATACCGTGATACAAATCGTATCGTGAGGTTAGTGTATCGTTGCACCCCTACCCCGGGGGTCATGATTTGAACAAGGTTTGACATTAACGTTAGTCCGTTAGTCTCAGACTAATACATTTTAATTCGAACTTATAAAATCTGTGGCTAATTAGTCCGAATGGACTAATAAAAATTTCTGGAAAAAAATCAATAAATTACTGATGTTCGATTCTCGACAACTTTCACTTGGAAACTCCGCATGTATTTTTAGCTTTGTAGCTTTGGTGGGAAGTTAGGTAATTCCGAGTCAATTCGGCACTTAATTTTAGGACCGATTGGTATGATATTAAACATTTTAGCGATCATAATTTAATATGACACATAAAGATAGATGTCAGATGTTTGGGTGTAATGTATAGAGAAAAAACGAACGAAATCGGGAATAAGACCGTAATTCCTGATCGCGAGATTTCAATGAAACCTGGAATAAAACATTTCACTTAAATAATGCTTTGTTTATTATAAAAAGTACATTGCAATGTTTATTTTTAAATTATCCCTTACAAAACATTGATTTTTTTTTTTAACGGACTCATAAAATCGCGTGCGGACTAGTTAAAGTAAAGAAGCACTAGTCCGGTTGGACTAAAGCCTAAAAAATGTTAGTGTCGAACCCTGTTGAACAATTACAATCTACACTACCCAAGAATGCTTCCATGTCAGTTTCAGCTTTTCTGGCCCACTGGTTCTTGAGAAGAAGATTTTTAAAGATTTTTTTCTATATATTTCAATGTAAAACTTGGATTCTCCATTGTGGCCACACCCGACCCCCAGGGGTCATAATTTGTAAAATTTAGAATCTGCACTACCCCAGAATGCTTCCATGTAAGTTTCAGCTTTTCTGGCCCACTGGTTCTTGGGAAGAAGATTTTTAAAGATTTTTCCTCTATATTTCAATGTAAAACTTTGTTTCCCCATTGTGGCCCTACCCTACTGCAAGGGGTCATGATTTGAACAATTTAGAATCTACACTACCTCAGGATGCTTCCAAGTAAGTTTCAGCTTTTCTGGCCCAGTGGTTCTTGAGAAGAAGATTTTTAATGACCCCACCCTATTTTTGTCGTTTCTTGATTATTTCCCCTTGTAAGGGGGCTTGGCCCTTCATTTTAACAATTTAAACTCCCCTTCACCCAAGGATGCTTTGTACCAATTTTGGTCAAAATTGACCCAGTGGTTCTTGAGAAGAAGTTGAAAATGTGAAAAGTTTACAGATGGACGGATGGACAAACAGATGGATGGACAGACAACAGGTGATCAAAAAAGCTCACTTGAGCTTTCTGCTCAGGTGAGCTAAAAATGATACAAAGAATTATGTATCATAGTGTAGTCTACTTGCCAAGTTATACTAAAATCGGATCAAAACTGTAGGAGCAGTAGCATTTTGAAAAATTGTTTACAGACAGACAGCTAGACAGACGACAGACATTTTATTATCCCATATGCTCGACACATAGCGAGTCCATGAGAGTGAATGCTAGATAATATATGCACTGTTTCTACAACTATGTTTGAAGGAGCCAATAAACCAAACAATTTTTATTGTCATGTTCACAGAAATGACTTAAGTATACCAGCCCACAAAGGTGAATTTTGAATTCTACAGAATAATTAATAATTAAGTCGTCACACTGGAGAACCACTCTTACTGGATCAATAGAGCTGTTTGAGGACTTAACAAGGAGCATATAAATCAAGAAAAAGTTAAATCCCTAAGAAAAATAGTTTTTTTTTAAAGTTTGAGAAACATTTATGTTTAATTGTGTCAAGGTTATTAACCTCACAATCTTTTTGTGGAAAGAAATGAAGTACTGAAAGCTTTAAACCACTCAAAAAATACAGTAACTCACTTGGAGGACACTTAAATGTGGAATTGTTTAAAAAGAAAAGCTCAATGATTCTATTTTGAGTGTTCAAACTTGATAAATATAAAACATCTGTATCAACCTTTGGCAATGACATCAAGAACCAAATACTGCAGACATTGAGTATCATCATCATCAAAGTATTAAAGGATGAGCAAAGTCCAAAAAATAAAGCATATTTTAATATCTACAGAGATGGTCCTATCATTATTTAATTGCACATTTTGGATCAGAGATTGTGCTCTGTATGAATTTTTGAAAGACAGGTCACTTAATTTTGAAGATATTTTCAAGATATGTTAAACAAGAGGCCCATGGGCCACAACCCTCACCTGAGTAACTTTGGCCTTGCTGTTTTTCACCCGATTTCCCCCTTGTAATACCTATTGTGGCCCCGCCCTACCCCAGGGGTCATGATTTGAACAATTTAGAATCTACACTACCCCAGGATGCTTCCACATACGTTTCAGCTTTTCTGGCCCAGTGGTTCTTGAGAACAAGATTTTTAAAGATAT